GCATTCCACTGTCTGAAAGTCCCACAAATTTTTTATCCATTTATCTGTTGATGGATATTTGGGTTGTTTCCAGTTTTAACTATTAAAAATAAAGCTGTTATTAATTTTTGTGTGCTGTGCTTCTTAAGGACATTTGCTTTCATTTTTCTTGGGTAAATACCTAGGAGTGGAATAGTTATGTCATACGGTAGATGTATGTTCAGTTTTTAAGAAACTGCCAAATAGTTTTCCAAAGTATTTCTACCACTTTTATATCCCGCCAGCAGCATCTGAGAGAGATAGTTACCTCAAATTCTTACTATCACCTGGTATGGTCTGTCTTTTTAATGTCAATCTTTCTAATAGATTTGTAGTAGTATCTTATTGTGGTCTTAATTTGTACCTCCCTAATCAATAATGATATTAAGCATCTTTTTTTTCCCCTTAGCTGCCATCAATTTATCTTTCTTGGTGAAGTGTGTGCTCTAGTCTTTTTCTCATTTTTATCTCTTCAAATATTTTCTTAGGTCCTTTCTCTTTCTCTTCTTCTGGGACCCCCATAATGCAAATGTTGGTGTGTTTAATGTTGTCCCAGAGGTCTCTTAGGCTGTCTTCATTTCTTTTCATACTTTTTTCTATATTCTGTTCTGCGGCAGTGATTTCCACCATTCTGTCCTCCAGGTCACTTATCCGTTCTTCTGCCTCAGTTGTTCTGCTGTTGATTCCTTTTAGTGTATTATTCATCTGTTTGTTTGTTCTATAGTTCTTATAGGTGTTTGGCAGACATTTCTTGCATCTTCTCCACTGTTTTCCCAAGATCCTGGATCATCTATATTATCATTATTCTGAATTCTTTTACTGGAAGCTTGCCATCTCCACTTCATTTAGTTGTTTTTCTGGGGTTTTATCTTGTCCCTTCATCTGGGATGTAACTTTCTGCTTTTTTCATTCTGATTAACTTTCTGTAATATGGTTTTTGTTTTAGACGCTGTGGAACTGTGCTTCTTTTTGATTCTTCTGTCTGCCCTCTGATGAATGAGGCTAAGAGGCTTGTGTAAGCTTCCTGATGGCAAGAACTGGTGATGGGGGAAACTGGGTCTTGCTCTAGTAAGCATGGCTTTGCTCAGTTAACACTTTAATCCCATTATCTGCTGATGGTGAGGTTGCACTCCCTCCTGTTAATTGTTTGGTCTGAGACAACCCAGCTCTGTGACTCTATCGTAGGATTAATGACTAACTCCAAGAGGGTTTACACCAAGGGGGACCTTCCCAGCCTAATGCCCCTGTCCCTGTGGTAAGCCCCTGTTGATCCATGCCTCCACAGGAAACCCTCCAACACTAGCATGTAGTTATGGTTCAGTCACCTGTGGTGTCACTGCTCCTTTCCTCTGGGTCTTAATGTGTGCAAAATTTTGTTTCTGCCCTCCAAGGCTGGAGTCTCTGTTTTCCCCAGTCCTGTGGAAATCCTATAATCAAATCCTGCTAGCAAGATTCCCTGGGGATTCATGGTCCCTTTGTTGAATCCTCATGCTGGGAAGCCTAAAATGGGGTTCAGAACCTTCACAACAGTGGGATAAATTCTTTGGTATTATTGTTCTCCAGTTTGTGGGTCACCTACCCAGCAGGTATGGGATTTTATTTTATTGTGATTGCACCCCTCTTACCGTCTCGCTGCAGCTTCTTCTTTGTTTTTGGATGTGGGGTATCATTTTTTGGTGGGTTTCAGCATCCTCCTGTCATTGGTTGTTCAACAGTTAGTTGCAATTTTGGTATTCTCACAGGAGGAGATGAGTGCACGTCCTTCTACTCTGCCATCTTGAACCAGAAGTCTCTCACCCGCTTTTTCACATTTCTAAAATTGGGTTGTTGATGTTTTGAGGATTGTTTATATTTTCTGAATGCATATCCATCATGAGACATATGTTTCTCAAAGACCTTCTTGTAGACTGTGGCTTCATTCTATTAACCAGGTCTTTCAAAAAGAATATGTTTTTAACCTAATTTAACCTTTTTTTCCTTTGTGGATTGTGCTTTTATTATTTAGGCTTTTCTTAAGATTGATTTATTTAGCTAGTTATTGTTATTATTTTTTTGTCTGAGGTGAGTCTTCATTACTGCATGAAGGCTTTGATACTGGAAAAGACACTGATCCTGGGGAAAAAGTTGAAAGTGTTAGTCACTCAGTCCTGTCTGACTCTTTGTGACCCCATGGACTCTATGAAGGCAAAAGGAGAAGGAGGTGGCAGAGGATGAAATGGTTAGATAGCATCTCCAACTCAATGAATATGAATTTGAGCAAACTCCAGGAGATAGGGAAGGACAGGGAAGCCTGGCAGGCTGCAGTCCATGGAAGTTGCAATGAGTCAGACACTACTTAGTGACTGAACAACATCGACAGAAACAGTTTTATCCAAAATTTAAATTGTATTGTAAACTAGAATTAAGCTAATTTGTTTTTTAAATGACTACTTATTACCCTCTTTGAAATCAGTGCTCATTGTTTTTTGCATTCGTCCAAGTAACCTTCCCGGTATAGAAACTTAAATACCACTGCTGATGCTCTAAGTACAACAGATCACACCTAAATGAATATACTTCCAAAGCAGAATTACTGTTGCATAACAAGGTAGCAGCTGAATTGTAATATATTTTAACACTTATGTTTTTCTCACCAAACTTTTCCCTCTGAATCTACATAGTACCAACCACCCCCCACCCCAAACTAGATGGCAGTCTACAAACTCCAAAGCACATTGCATGTCTTACCTCTATTGTCAGTCATGTATCTGGGATAAAATATGTAGTCTCTCCATAGGAGAAGCTTTCATCATGGAAGTAAAGAAAGAGCCAGCTAGCATGCTGACTAAGTGACATTTTCCAGTTGCCTGTTGCAGTTGTCATTAACTAGCAAAGTATCTCTGTATCTAATGGTCAGGAAGGATATATACTTCACCTTACAGTCTTATAGACTGTTTGATTAACCCATTAATGGGAGGATCAATTCAGAATAATCATGTTTATATTTCTTTAGTCCCCTTTTGGAGATTTTTTCTTTGGAGTTTTTTTCCCCTTATATAATTGATAATTTATCTTTTTCTTCTCAAAATCTGTCATTGATATTTTGATTTTCTTATCTTTACTTCCCATTTGTTTCAGTTATCTAGGACAGAAGTCTCTCTTTTATTTTATTTATTTTTTTTAGCTTTATATTTTTAATTGGAATATAGTTGATTAACAATGTTGTGATAGTGTACAGCAAAGTGAATCAGTTATACATATACATGTATCTATCCTTTTTCAAATTCTTTTCCAATTTAGGTTGTTACATGACACTGAATTGAGTTCCCTGTGGTATATAGTAGGTCCTTGTTGATTATCCATTTTTATGTATAGCAGTGTGTACATACAGTTCCAAACTCCCGAACTATCCCTTCCCTGCACCCTTCCCCTTTGGTAACCACAAGTTCCTTTTCTATGTCTGTGAGTCTGTTTCTGTTTTGTAAGTAAGTTCATTTATATCATTTCTTTTTAGATTCTGCTTATAAGCAGTATCATATGATATTTCCCTTTATCTGTCTGACTTACTTCACTCAGTATGACAATCTTTAGGGCTGTCCATGTTGTCTCAAATGGCATTATCTGTTTCTTTTTAATGGCTGTGTAATATTCCATTGCATATATGTACCACATCTTCTTCTACCATTCCTATCTCTATGCACATTTAAGTTACTTCCCTATCTTGGCTGTTGTAAACAGTGCTCCAGTGAACACTGAGGGGCATGTATCCTTTTGGACCATGTTTTTCTCTGGTTATATGCCCTGTGGGATTGCAGGGTCATCTGGTAGTTCTACTTTTAGTTTTTTAAGGAGCCTGCATACTGTTCTCCATAGTGGCTGTACCAGTTGACATTTCCACCCTCTCCAGCGTTGTTTGTGAATTTTTTGATGATAGCCCTTTGGACTGGTGTGAGGTGATATCTCATTGTAGTTTTGATTTGCGTTTCAGATATAACTTTCATACCATATAGTTCACCCATTTAAATAGTATATTTCAGTGGTTTTTAGTATATGAACAATTTTACAACCATCACCACAATGAATTTCAGAACATTTCATTATACTAAAAAGAAAGCCTGTACCCTTTAGCTGTCAACCCAACTCTTTCATCTCCTAGCCCAAGCAACCCAAAATCTACTTCCTGTCTCTATAAATTTACTTATGATGGATATATTATATAAATGGAATCATACAATACATAGTCTTTTGTGACTAGCTTCCTTCACTTGGTGTGATGTTTCATCTGTGTTGTGGTGTGCATCAGTACTGTATTCCTTTTTATCCCTGAATAATATTCCATGGTATTGATACACCTTATTTTGTTTCACCAAGTGGACATTTGGTTTGTTGCTGAATAATGCTGCTATCAATATCCATCCAAGTTTTTGTATGGACATGTGTTTTCATTTCCCTTGGGTATATATACCAAGGAGTGAGAATTTCTGGATCAAGTGATAACTCTTATGTTTAAGTTTTTGATGAACTCCCAATCTCTTTCCCAAGATTACTGTACCATTTTACATTTCTACCAGCCGTTTTGGAAGGTCCGAATTTCCCCACATCCTTACCAATACTTATTATTTGACTTTTTGATAATTGCCATCCTAGTAGGTATGAAAATGGTATCTCATGTGTTTTTAATTTTTATTTGTCTTATGACTAATTGTGTAGAGCATCTTTTCATGTTTTAATGGCCATTTGTATGTCTTTGGAGAAATATCTACTCAGATCCATTGCCCATTTTTCTTTTGGGTTACCTGTCTTTTTATAATAATTTATAAGACCAAGATGCTTTTTAATATGAATTTGTAATTGCCACCAAACAAAATGTATAAGTTAATGTCAGACCTTATTTTCCTACAGGTACTGAAATTTTACACCCTCCTCCCCCCGCAAATATTTGTCAATGAGAGAGAAAGCTGATTGGGATTTCAAAAGCAAAGTGCTTGCACATATTGGTCATCATGCGGAAAGGCGTGCCACGAGACCCAGAGATTGCTGATCTGTTCTATAAAGATGATCCTGAAGAACTTTTTATTGGTTTACATGAAATTGGACATGGAAGTTTTGGAGCAGTTTATTTTGTAAGTGATTAAAAATTGTTTGGATCAAATTATGAAAGTTTGATTTCTATACATTCCAACTATTATTTGTAAAATGCACATGTTTTTAATGTTTATTCTACAAATTAAATAATGTCTACAGTACAGGCAAATAGTCTTTGCTGAAAAGCCAGTCCTAGAATTCTAGGCAATATTCAAGTCAGTGGTATTTATATCAAATGACTCTGCTATCAAAGTGAGGCAAAAACATTATAAGCTTGAATTTGAACCCTGTGCATTTCCCTTATATGCCATGTTCTTTTCTGCCTCAGAGCATTTATATATGGTATTCCTCCTACCAAGAATTCTACATGTTGTTTCCCCATTCCTGTCTAACTCTCATTTTTCCTACAAATATCAGCTTAAGTGTTCAATCCACAAGAGAGCCATTTCTGTTCAACCCTCCATCACTGAATTAAGACTTCATTTGTGGTCTCATAGCCCCCTGTGCTTATACATTGTTGCATTTGACACAGTTATAATTGTATAATATGTGTGACTTTTTTTGATTCATCTATGTCTCACTAAATAATAAGCTCCATAAGGACAAGAGTTATATCTACTTGTTCATTGCTATATCCCCAGTAACTAGTATAATGTCTGAGTAGTACGATGTAAATGACATCAGTAAATGATGGATAGATGGGTGGATGGCCAAATGGGCAACCACTTAGATGGACTGACAGATTTTTAGTAGTAATCATGTTAACCCAGTATCTTAGGTTAAGGGGTACATGGCCTAGCTCCATAGAGTCAGTTTGAATTCCAAGACTTTATCTTCTGATGAGAAGAGTGAGAAATGATCAGCTAAGTGTTAACATACCTCATTCACCTAAAGTTCATTTCATAAAAAATGTACTTCTTTATTTCAATAAGTGTAGAAGTTTGCATCATCAAATTAACACATACTTCCTTAAGAGTACTAGTTCATTAAAGCAGGTAATATTTAAGTATGACTTATTACCTATTTCTCTTCCAAACCTATTATCACATACTTTTTTCTTTCTTAAACAGTATTTGACTTTTTTTTTAAGTGGTCCTTTATGTCCTTCCATCTAGATAGGGCTTATCTTTAGTTGTCCTTCCAAATGCAGTTATATTAATTGCATCCTGAGCTCATTCTTTTGTTTCTAACCAAATCTTAAGCCCGAGTTTTCTCTGAATGCTCTCTCATTCCTTCATGTCTATTCTCAGCACTACCATCACTCCTCTTCCCTCACCCCCATCTAATACTTGGCTCCCATTCAAGTACATTTTATCATTAAGTGCTACCTTCCAGGGCTGAAGAGAGTGCTAATTTTCTAGTTAATACACTCATGTTAATCTTTGAGGTTATAGTAGTAGTTACAGGCCAATCAAAGTCATATCTTTCTCATTCACTGAGACACAGTTTTTAAAAAGGATTCTTAAAATTACAATTATATATACAGAGTGTACATGATACATACACACATATATTTTAATATATAATTTAAAGAATAATTAAAAGGTAAATCCCTTTATAACCACCAGCCATGCTGAGAAATAAAATATTGCCAGCACCCAAAAGCCCCTTTTTGGTTAGAAGAATCCACTATGCTGAATTTTGTTATGATGACTTCCTTGTCTTTATATATAACCCACTTACTTCTCCACCCCCTAATAATGTAATTTGGTTTTGCCTCATTTTGAACTTTTTAACAATGGAAGCATTCTGTATACATTTGGTTGTGACCTGTTTGCTTTGCTTAGAGATACTTTCTTCAGTCAGTCATCTTTCTTACTGTCCTTCTATTACTTTATGACTCATTCATTATCTCAGAATCTCTCTTGGTTTAAGAGAGTGGTTCCAATCTCTGTTTGACTCTACAGTTTTAAAAAGCAGCCAGACCCTTCTCAAAGTTCTCTTTTAGAATAAATACAATAAACCAAGAATGCTTTGAAACTTACTAACAGGCTGTTTGTGTTAGGGGTTAAATGAGACATACTTTGCTGTAGAAAACCCAGTGCTTTTTGGACTAAGTCCTGTCTGATTAGCTAGAGTACACTAGTTCCCTCTTATCCACAGTTTCAGTTATCAGTGGTCAACCTCAGTCCAAAAATACTAAATAGAAAAATCCAGAAATAAGCAATTCTTGAGTTTTAAATTGCGAGATGTTCTGAGTAACATGATGTATTGAAAAATGTGTTATTTGTTGATAATGATAGACTAGAAAAATCACAAAGATACCTGTATGGCTTTGATACTGAAATGTAATCATTAACTATATATTGCCTGTATATAAAAGTGTATATAGTGCAGCCCCATATAAACCCATAAGGCACATAAAAAAACAGATTAAAGGGAAATTAACTGATATTTTACTATAAAATTTTAAAAAGCTTTAACCTTTTATCTACATTGGTCTCATAGGCAGAAAATGGATTTTCTCCTGTGCCACTCCATGTCGCTCCTCCCTATTAATAGATTCTTCCTCTTGTCACTCAAGTATACCATTATAACCGAGAAGACTATCATCTCTTACAACTGCTGTAACCTCCAAACTGATCTCTGTGCATCCATTCTGGTCTCTCTCCAGTCTTTCGGCCACACTACAGAGAGTTTGAGGATTGTTGGGGACCAGAAACATGTTAATATGATCATATCACCTTTTGTCTATAAAGTCTTCAAGGGGTCTCCTCCTCTGTCCTTAGGTTAATAAATTCAAATGCCTTACTGCATTCAGCCTCTAAGGTCCTTTATGAGGTGATCCCTGTATACCTGAATTATTGTTGCTGTTCAGTCACTAAGTCGTGTCCAACTCTTTTGTGACCCCATGGGCTACAGCATGACAGACTCCTCTCTCCTCCACTATCTCCGGGAGTTTGCTCAAATTCATGTTCATTGAGTCAGTGATGCTATCTAACTGTCTCATCCTCTGCCACCCCCTTCTCTTCTTGCCTTCAGTCTTTCCCAGCATCAAGGTCTTTTCCAGTTAGTTGGGTCTTCCCATCAGGTGGCCAAAGTTTTGGAGCTTCAGCTTCAGCTCCAGCGTCAGTCCTTCCAATGAATATTCAGAGTTGATTTCCTTTAGGATTCACTGGTTTGCTCTATATTCCCTCTTATTCACATTGCTCTAGATAATACATAAAAGTTAATCATCCATCATAGGATCTATATTAATTATGATTTTATTTTTGTTGCTGTCTATGCTACTAGAAGAGAGATGTGTACTTGGCATACTTACTCACAATTATATCCCTAACATTTAGCCCAATACCTGCCAAATTTTAAACACCTAATAAATACTTGAATTATGAAGAACTCAGAGAATTTGGCATTGCTTATTAGTACTTTTCTTGTGGCAGAGTCATATTAGCAAGCTGTAAAGACCAGAGTCTAGCAACCAACATTTTCAAAATTTTTATACCTCAGCACTATAATTCTGTTAGGTTTTTTGTAGTTTATAGCTTTTACACAGAATGATGCCAGGGAAAATGTTAGCAGTGAATTGTATGCTGGCACTGCTCTTGGAGAATCAGTCAGTTAAGAATATATATTGTTTTCAGAGAAAATGGAAACTATTGATGAAATATCTCTGTGTATTTGGATTTACATAAGTAATTTAGAATTTAGCAGCAGTAAAAATGAAATAATGAAAAACTCTGTATTAAAGGAAATTAAAAAGGGCAGAACATGTTCATTTTTGTATTCACTTAAAGACAGTTATAAAGTTTCTAGGGTTCTAGTGTTGCATTGTTGAACTCAGCGTATCATCCATAATCTACCTAAAGCAGATAATTTAGTTTTGTTTTTCTGGGTATAAATACCTTTTAGTTTTAGTTGAGGCTTAATAACTAGGGCAAAAGGAAAAGCTTATTTTTTAATTCTTATATTTCTCCATAAACTAGCAAAGAATTGACAGTTGTCTAAATGTAGCTGAAAATGGTTATGAAAATATTAGAAGCACATATGTAGTAAGTTCCCAATAAATATATTTTGAATCAGTGATCTTGTTTAACATTACTGAGACCATTGAGACAATTGGAAGTAATAAATATGATTATAAGTTTCAAGAATAAAACTTAAAATGTTTAGAAGTTGTAATCATTCACATTTCATGCAAAGATGGGCTCAAGAAAGGACAGAAATGCTATGGACCTAACAGAAGCAGAAGATATTAAGAAGAGTTTGCAAGAATACACAGAAGAACTGTACCAAAAAGATCTTCACAACCCAGATAATCACAAAGGTGTGATCACTCACACTTACCTAGAGCCAGACATCCTGGAATGTGAAGTCAGGTGGGCCTTAGGAAGCATCACTAAGAACAAAGCTAGTGGAGGTGATGGAGTTCCAGTTGAGCTATTTCAAATTCTGAAAGATGATGCTGTGAAAGTGCTGCACTCAATATGTCAGCAAATTTTGAAAACTAAGCAGTGCCCACAGGACTGGAAAATGTCAGTTTTCATTCCAATTCCCAAAAAAGGCAATGCCAAAGAATGCTTAAACTACTGCACAATTGCACTCATCTCACACGCTAGTAAAGTAATGCTCAAAATTCTCCAAGCCAGGCTTCAGCAATACGTGAACCGTGAACTTCCAGATGTTCAAGCTGGTTTTAGAAAAGGCAGAGGAACCAGAGATCAAATTGCCAACATCAGCTGGATCATCGAAAAAGCAAGCAAGTTCCAGAAAAACATCTATTTCTGCTTTATTGACTATGCCAAAGCCTTTGACTGTGTGGATCACAATAAACTGGAAAATTCTGAAAGAGATGGGAATACCAGACCCCCTGACCTACCTCTTGAGAAACCTGTATGCAGGTCAGGAAGCAACAGTTAGAACTGGACATGGAAAAACAGATTGGTTCCAAATAGGAAAAGGAGTATGTCAAGGCTGTGTATTGTCACCCTGCTTATTTAATTTATATGCAGAGTACATCATGAGAAACGCTGGGCTGGATGAAGCACAAGCTGGAATCAAGATTGCGGGGAGAAATATCAATAACCTCAGGTATGCAGATGACACCACCCTTAATGCAGAAAGTGAAGAAGAACTAAAGAGCCTCTTGATGAAAATGAAAGAGGAGAGTGAAAAGTTGGCTTAAAGCTCAACATTCAGAAAACTAAGATCATGGCACCTGGTCCCATCACTTCATGGCAAATAGATGGGGAAACAGTGGAAACATTGGCTAACTTTATTTTGGGGGGCTCCAGAATCACTGTGGATGGTGATTGCAGCCATGAAATTAAAAGATGCTTACTCCTTAGAAGGAAAGTTATGACCAACCTAGACAATATTAAAAAGCAGAGACATTACTTTGTCAAAAAGGTCCATCTAGTCAAGGCTATGGTTTTTCCACTAATCATGTATGGATGTGAGAGTTGGACTATAAAGAAAGCTGAACACTGAAGAATTGATGCTTTTGAACTACGGTGTTGGAGAGGACTCTTAAGAGTCCCTTGGACTGCAAGGAGATCCAACCAGTCCATCCTAAAGGAGATAAGTCCTGGGTGTTCATTGGAAGGACTGATGTTGAAGCTGAAACCCCAATATTTTGGCCACCTGATGCGAAGAGCTGACTCATTTGAAAAGACCCTGATGCTGGGAGGGATTGGGGGCAGGAGGAGAAGGGGCCGACGGAGGATGAGATGGTTGGATGGCATCACCGACCCAGTGGACATGGGTTTGGGTGGACTCCAGGAGTTGGTGATGGACAGGGAGGCCTGGCATGCTGCAGTTCATGGGGTCGCGGAAAGTCGGACACAACTGAGGGATTGAACTGAGTCATTCATAAAGCAGTCTGATGCATTGGAAAGCTGAAATCCTATTCATAATTTCCTTTCTCTGTACAAAAACATTGATTTCTCTTTTTTTAAGCTTCAGTTTCAGTTCTGAATTTTAACTAGTGTAAAATGCATTAAAAATTTCCCATCTATAGATAAATGGAAATGTTTTTCAAATTTCAAGTCTTTGCCTAGCCAATAGGTTCTATAAACAAGTATACATATCAAGTTCTAAGTGATGATAACTCTGTAAATGTGAAGAAATACATTGTTCCAAATAAGCATTGATAATAAATAACGTTAATAATATTGCATTAGATAATACTATTGGATTCCATTTGTGTGGGCCTTTTTTTTTCTTTCTGTAAAGTGTAAAGATTTGTTTGTTATAAACCCCTATTATAAGTTAAAATTCATCATTGTTTGAGCATTTCCTAAGCCTTTCCCAGGCTCCTTAAGCTGCACAGCACATAGATTCATATCCAAAATACCTGCTTTACAGATACAGTCCCTCTAACTGTTATTGTATAACTGGATTTACATCAACTTTTCTTTGTTGTTACATAAGCTTAGTCTTAATATTTCATTTTAAAAACCAGAAAAATGTGAGAGGTTTTTACTTTTAACAAAAGTCAGTCTGTACCTTCTAAATGAATAAAATACTAAAAAAATACTAAAAAATGACTTTACGAAGTCCTGCCAATTTGAAAACTATAACTAGTGGATACCTTGTTTTTTTAATAGGATACTTTTACCTGAGCACTTGCACAAAAAAAATTTAGTAAGTTTCCATTTCCTCTGCATTTTGGAATTAATTAAGACTCTGGGGTTGAGTTATTTTTACACCATTATTATTTATTGTTGAAATTAATTTTTTTTAAATTAGAAACCATTGCTGTATCTGAGGAGCTTTTCTAATTGTTCTTAAGAAACTGATTAGGGATTTTTCTCTAAAGTCAGTGACCTTGTTTTACCAGAGAGTGAATTACAATCTTTTACTTCAGAAACACTGCTATAGCTTTATTAGTCCACAATAATAATATCACAGAACCAAAATAGCTTACTTAACATCAAGGATATGACATTGATGTGGAGCCCTGTTAATAAAGAAGGCTAAGATTAGATAATCTTTAATGTCTTGTGTTTATATTTTTCTGAAAATTTTTAGAAATTACTTAGTTTTTAATTTCTTAAGTGAATTTGGAGGCAAAGATTATTACCTGAGGTATTAATGGTTGTCATGCGTGCTTTCAATGAACTGTAATGTTTTGAGTTTGGAGAAGATTGTTGTTTTTAGTCACTCAGTCATGTCTGACTCTCTTTGCAACCCCGTGGACTATAGCCTGCCAAGCTTCACTGTCCATGAGATTTCCCAGGCAAGAGTACTGGAGTGGGTTTCCATTTCCTTCTTTAGGGGATCTTCCCGACCCAGGGATCAAACCTGAGTCTCCTGCATTGACAGACAGATTCTTTGTGACTAAACCACCAGGAAAGCCCCATGAAGAATATACATACAGATAATTATGAGACAAGGCAAACTTTATAAATGAATATACACGTGTACACTTAAATATGTATATATATTTGTATAACACATTCTTATTATAAAGTATAAGTATCTTTGAAAGTCAAATCCCCTCTTAAGTTTAATGTTACCCTTTGCTTCACTGTTTAATATTTTAACAGATAATTATGAGACAAGGCAAACTTTATAAATGAATATATATGTGTACACTTAAATATGTATATATATTTGTATAATACATTCTTATTATAAAGTATAAGTATCTTTGAAAGTCAAATCCCCTCTTAAGTTTAATGTTACCCTTTGCTTCACTGTCTAATATTTTAACCACTATTTAAATTTTAAGTTAATTAAAATTAAATTTAAAATCCACTTCCTTAGTCATAAGAGTCACATTTGACATCCTACTATATACTACATACATCTACTATTTAGATGTAGATATAGAACATTTCCATCATCACAGAAAGTTCTATTAAACATACTAATATATCAAATAATCCAGAGATTATCACTGATAAGTATTTCAGTATAAATTATTTCATAATTTTTTCTACACATATACTCACTATTACAGTTTTGCAAAAATAAGGTCATATTGAACATCAGGTGTATGACACTGATGCAGAGCCCAGTGATCATCTTAGTTTTTACTGTTATCACATATACATATTGATTACCTCATTTTTTTTTTTTTTACACTTCTTTTTTTGTCTGTACAGCCCCGCCTGCAGCATCTTAGGTCCCCGACCAGGGTCGAACCCATGATCCCTGCAGTGATAGCATGGAGTCTTAACCACTGCCAGGGTAGTCTTGATCACCTCATTCTTTTAATGTTTATTTCATTATATGACTGTACCGTATTTAATTAACTGTTTCTCCAGTGGTAGACATTCTACTTGGTGAAGCCTGTATGGGTATTTTGGAAATATGACTTTTTTTGACTGAATATGTTTTGTTAAACCAAAATCAACACTGAATATTCATTGGAAGGACTGTTGCTGACACTCCAGTACTTTGGCCACCTGATACAAAGAGCCGACTCATTAGAAAAGACCATGATGCTAGGAAAGACTGAGGGTACAAGGAAAAGGGGACAACAGCGGGTGAGATGGTTGGATGGCATCACTGATTCAATCACTGAGTCAAGCTCACCACATGAGTTTGAGCAAACTCCAGGAGACAGTGAAGGACAGCAAAACCTGGCATGCTGCAGTTTATGGGGTCACAAAGAGTGAAACATGACTTAACAACTGAACAACAACAATCCGTTTTTACATTATAGCCTTTGCATGTATTCAGAAAGGGATAAAGAGAAGTTGTGCTTTAAAGTGAGCTGGAAAGGTCTGCCTAGGCTGTCAAAAGTTGCAACATCTTTTCGCTGTGCGAATGAATGTGAAATGTTATAAAAATCAAGTCAAATATTTAAATTAAACTGACTGAAACACTGTTCATTCTTTTCAACTTTTTTTCTCTATTCTCTTAACACAGGCCACAAATGCTCACACCAATGAGGTGGTGGCAATTAAGAAAATGTCCTATAGTGGGAAGCAGGCACATGAGGTATGTTAAAGACATTGTGTCACTAAACTGACATATGCAAGTTAGTATGAAAGTGACAGTGGAAACAAAGTTTCCTGAGCATTTCTTTATCATAGTTCTTTTTTTCCCCTTATGGATAATTTAATAAACATTACTAATATTCTACCTCAATCAACTCTTTTGTGGAATAAAATATGAATTTAGTATGCTCAGTCACTTCAGTCGTGTCTCTTTGCGACCCCATGGACTGTAGTCCTCCTGGCTCTTCAGTCCATGAGATTCTCCAGGCAAAAATACTAGAGTGGTTGCCATTTCCTTCTCCAGGGGATCTTCCCAACCCAGGGATCAAACCACGTCTCTCATCTCCAGCATTGGCAGGCAGGTTTTTTACCACTAGCACCACTTGTGAAGCTGCAGGATTAGTATAATAGATTTGTTATATTTGTTGATTGATTTAATTTATATGTACTAAAACAAGAAGTAACACAAGTTTAAATAGCTTCTTCATGTATTAAGCATTTTCTTTGTCTACTTAAAATAATGAAGAAAATGTAATATATGTATACTTGAAAATAAAATACTGTTTTCTGTTACAAAAAATCATGATATTTCTTTTTGATTTCAATAGAAATGGCAAGATATTCTTAAGGAAGTCAAATTTTTACAACAATTGAGACATCCTAATACCATTGAATACAAAGGTTGTTACTTGAAAGAGCACACTGCTTGGGTAAGTCAAAGGACCTCTATTATCTTTTAATTTTTTCCTCTAAATTTTTTTGTGTGTTTTCCTTTTTTTTCTATTATGTCTTTGGTTTATAAAATTATCAGCCTATTTCTGTCCCATTTGATTTTTTTTTTCAGTATTTAACATTTGTTACTCTAGTGTGTGTCATATGGTATACATTCTAGAAGTCCAATGCGCTATCCATTGCGCCACGGAGCCACCTATATGGTATACATTCTAAAGTTTAAATATGACATCTAAGAGTCTATAGGAAATTTATTCTTAAACATTCAATGAAAAGATACTGGAAAGTTAATAACATCATTTTACAATGATTTATTTGCAAAAGTAAGAAGCAAGGCCTTTTATTCTCATCCTAGAGTTTTTATCTTTGTCATTTCTCATCCCCTACTCCAGTTCCCCACAAATTCGGAATTGTGCTTGATATTACTAGAACTGTCTCTGGTTTTTTGCTGGATTTTTTTTTTGCTAGGTTATGATTAATTGAAACAATCTTTTGTTCCACTCTGTCTTCTTGGTATGTTTTTATTTTTACACGATTTTGCTTCTGATTTTAATCTGACACATTAGACATTGTATAGAACCAGAAAATGCTATACTTTGTATTTTATGGGATTGCACATACCAGTTTAAAGTATTCAATATCAATATCATTTACTGAATACTCACCACTGTACAAGTCCTTTCCTGTACATGATCTCCAGCTAGGGAATGGAATTTTTGTTCTCAGATAGACTATCAAAGGCTAAACACAAAACCTTTCTGCTCAAGCAGTTCTTAAGATATGTAGAGCCACTGCATCTGTCCAGAGTAGAAGAAATTAAGAGGAGTATCTCATTATGTGGAAATCAGTTCACTGGCAATCTCAGCTATCTTGAAGGAGTCAAGAAAGGGATTTTGAGCAGGCAGAGTAAATGTTACAAAATCAAGTGCTAAATCTCATATGTTTCAGAACTTCAGAAAATTCTCTGAGCTGTTATTTGAAGCCTGTTTACTCTTTGATTACATAGAGTGCTAACAAGTTTGGTTACTTAGTCTCTGTCTATAAGTATTTGTTAGGCTAATTAGAAGGAACTCATAGAATTAAGCTGCCAGAGACATGCATACAAATAGGCATAACTAATTTGACCTTAAGGAAGAAGTTAGGGAATTTAGAGAGCAGACCTAACAATTTAAAAGCAGAACAACCAGAGCTGTTAAATGTCAGGGTCAAACATCTAGCCACTGCTTAGCTGCCCTTGTGCTGTGTAGTAATTGGAAAAAGAATATTTGGGACAGAAATACAGAGTTAACATGTAATTTAAAAAATAGAAGCATAACTATAAACATTTACTCCATTCATTTTTAAAATTCTATGTTCATTTTCCATATACTCAGTTTAAGGAAGTTATCTTATACACTTATGTAAGTGCATATCACTTTACATAATTTAAGAAAGTAGAGGGAATTCCCCGGTGACTCAGTGGTTAGAACCCCATGCTTTCACTGCGGAGGGCCTGGGTTCCATCCCTGGTTTGGGAATGAAGATCTCGCAAGTTGCACGAGTCCACCGAAAAAATTAAAAAAATCTTTTAAAATTTTTAATTAAAAATAACTTAGAAAAGTAAGTAATACAGATGAGAAATGTTTCCATCAAAACTAAGAAGACAAACAGTGTTTGTCAATTATACCTTAATAAAGCAGAATAAAAAAGAAAAATAGTACACATAAAAGTCTGAAAGTGAAAATCACTCAGTCATGTCCAACTCTTTGTGACCCCATGGACTATACAGTCCATGGAATTCTCCAGACCAGAATACTGGAGTGGGTAGCCATTCCCTTCACCAGGAAATCTTCCCAACCCAGGGATTGGACCCAGGTCTCCTGCATTGCAGGCAGATTCTTTCCTAGCTGAGCCACCAGGGAAGCCCATAAAAGGCTACTGTTCATTATAATATTCACTTATGTGGACTGTTTCATTTCACAATAAGAAATAAAATTAATATTTCTGAATCTCCTTTTAATATAAAGCACAAAGCTATAATAAAGTTTCTAAACTTTAAGCTTCTAAATTTCTCATACTTTTTAGAGTATTCTAGAAATAGAATCTTTTTTATATAATATATATTTAATTACACCTATACATATATAATAAATTTAATAATGTAAATTTATATCTATACTATTATGTATAATATAGGTATGATATATAATATATTATGTATTGTGTACCCTACTACTAGAATAATTAAGAATATGAGATATATATTGTTATATTATGTACAATTATTTATTATATTATGACATATAATAATATAACATATAATATTGTATCTCATATTCTTCTAAAATATTCCAGTAATGCAGGGTAAATAATACACAAGTGTTTTCACATGTATTTTTTTAAATGAAAGGAATTAATATGTTATTAGTAGTTGTGTCTGTGTGATTATAGGAAATTTGTATTTCATAATAAGCATATTATGTTTTAAGAAATAATAATTTGTAAGCGTGTGCATGCTTGTGGGTGTAGATTGGTCACTGAACACTCCACTTCTGACCTTGGCTACAAATCAGCAGTAGTCTGGGATGCATAAAAAAATATAAGATGAGAGTAAAGAGTTTTCTCATTTTTGCTTTTCAAAAGCCTCCCAAAGTTGCAAACTGCCAAAAAATCAATATTATTTTAATTTTAATAGTATTCTAGAAATATTTTAAGACAGACATCGAACTATTGCATCTCTCTTGGGGATTCAAGCTAATGTAATGATACATAGAAGGCAACATTTTTAGATTGAGGTTCTTGTTTAGAATTTTTTTAAATGTGAAAGTAGAGAATTTACTGCTTTTGACTTATTCTACTTAGTAATTCCTAGTGTAGATTTTACTGGGTCACATATTTGGTTACCACTTTGCAAGTTACAAAATTTAAGTTATACTGTAACTTAACCACCTTAAATCCTTGATTGAGTACAAGCCCCATATTGTCTTAGACCAATTCCAGTTTCAAATAGGAAATAGCAAAAGCAGATGATAAAAGTTATAAAAATCAATTACTAGTGCCAGATGACCAAGATTTAATCCAGGTTCAGAGATGTCAGAGTATTTATTCTCTTAGTATTCTTAGTTCTTGGTTAGTTGATTGGTTTGAGTAATTCCTTATTCTTAGGTTAATAAGAATAATTATTTTGATTATTATTTCAATCTGTTACAGTTGGTGATGGAATATTGCTTAGGCTCAGCCTCTGATTTGTTAGAAGGTAAGGATAAAAGCACTTTCCCCTTCTTTCCTTTTTACCTTGACCAGACTGTTATCTGTGCCTATACTAAAGCACACTTTGGGCAAACTAAATGGTTAATGACACTTAGACTTAAGGGTTATGTGGATAAGCCATGCAGACTCCATCTCTGCAATGTCACTGATAATATCTGAGTAATGATTAATGATTAGCAGCCCTCTCACTGTTTTAGTTCATGGCTATCCACGACAGGTACTACTAAAATATTTGGGTAATGTCATGTAGTATGTGTAGCCAGAAACATCAAATTCTTGTGTATATATGAAATATAGGCAGATGGTATCAAATTATATTGATATTTAACCCTATCACATCTTTTGACTGACCTAGTTCTCCTATGCAGGACACTGTTATAACCAGAGACTATGTTAAAATTTTAAATTTTTAAAAAAGACTTTCTTATATTATCCTTGATCTCTGAATAGAAATTGCTAATTAGCTGCTTTCACCAATAATGAAAATTTGTAGTTAGAAGGAGTACTTATAGGTGGCTTGTGACAGGAGAATAATGCAATCTAAAACACTCTAGTAGTCATGTATGGATGTGAGAGTTGGACCATAAAGAAGGCTGAATGCCAAAGAATTGATGCTTTTGAACTGTGGTGTTGGAGAAGACTCTTGAGAGTCCCTTGGACTGCGAGGAGATCCAACCAGTCCATCCTAAAGGAAATCAGTCCTGAATATTCATTGGAAAGACTGATGCTGAAGCTGAAACTCCAATCCTTTGGCCACCTGATGCGAAGAAAAGACCGTGATGCTGGGAAAGACTGAAGGCGGGAGGAGAAGGGGACGACAGAGGATGAGATGGTTGGATGGCATCACCGACTCAATGGACATGAGTTTGAGCAAGCTCTGGGAGTTGGTGATGGACAGGGAAGCCTGGCGTGCTGCAGTCCATGGGGTCGCAGAGAGTCGGACACAACTGAGCAACTGAACTGAACTGAAAACACTCTAGGCATTTAAAATGTCAGCGGGACTGGTAAATTTGGACCTGGCCAATTGGAATCAGTGTGGTTTTGACTTGCAACTGACAAGTAAATTAACAGTTCCTTACAGTGAATATCTGGAGACAGAAATGGCAGCCCACTCCAGTATTCTTGCCTGGAGAATCCCATGGATAGAGGAGCCTGGAGGGCTACAGTGCATAAGGTCGCAAAGAATCAGACACAACTGAGCACAACGAATATCAGGCTTTGTTTTATTTTATTTTGAAGGAGTTTGTTTTTATGCTTGAGTTTTCTGTTATCTGATTATTTATTGCTATTCTATAGGAAATATATATCCTATGTATTTACGTGAATGTGTTTCCAAATTGTCATTTAAGAAAGTACATAATTCAATCTGGTATTGCTATATAAGATAATAAAAATAGGAATGAAACTGATCATCCACCCTTGGCTTTTTTTTTTTTTCCCTTCCTCAGTTCATAAGAAACCACTTCAGGAAGTGGAGATCGCTGCCATTACTCACGGTGCCTTGCAGGGGCTAGCCTACCTGCATTCTCATGCATTGATTCATAGGTAAGATTAGAGACCAGTTACATTTTCATTTCAGTTACAGGACTGTCTGTTCAAGGAACCTTGAAAATTAGTGTGTGCTCCAGTTTTTAGGGTGCCTGAGGATTTATGGGAAGCAAACAAATTGCTGCTGCTTCTGAATGTAAAGAGTAAAGTTGCCAAAACTTAGTTCCTATCTCTTCGTCTCTCCCATATATCCATAAAGACTTACATCATCCCTGTTCTCTAGGTAACTATTCTCCAGGCTTAATGTTGCAGCGAAATTTGAAGAAGAGCCCAGCAACCTTTTGATACTGTGTCAGTAAAAAAAAAAAGAAAGAAAAAGAAAAGAAAATTAGCTTTGCTTGCATATGTTTATTTCCTAGCTGAGTTCTTCTTTTCCTGTTGCAAATAACAAGTCAGTCTCATGTGAATATATGCTATTCTATCAGTTTAAAATTTCTTGCGTTTCTTTAGTCCATATAGATATGTAGGAAGGTATTATCATCTTCATTTTAGCAGATGATGAAACTGAAACTTAGAACGATTTAAATAACTAGCCCATAGTTTCCTAGCATTTACGTAATAAAGATTGAAACTCAGATTTTCTAATGCCTAACACAAGGCTTCCCTCTAAGTTACATTTTCTTTGTCACAGCCCCACTCTCTTCTTTCCAACCTACTTCCCAGCACTAATTTCTAAACAAAGATGTCGTTACCAGTTTTTCCTTATCTCAGTAAAGAACTTCTAGTACTGTAACTTTAATGAATAGTGGCCAAGTAGTGGTATATGAGGTAGGCATAAAGGATCTGAGGTGGCTTAAAGTCATAAGAAAAAAATTTACATTTACCAAGAAGAAATGAAACTATTAAGTCATAGGTTCTCCTTTTGCTTCTTTTCTCATCGCCCTAGAGTAGCCATTGTCAGTTACTGGTACATACTGCAAAACGGAACTCCCTCAAGACAGACAGGCCAGGACCGGGATGGGGGATACATGTAAATCCATGGCTAATTCATTTCAATGTATTACAAAAACCACTGCAATGATGTAAAGTAATTAGCCTCCAACTAATAAAAATAAATGGAAAAAAAAAAAGTTAAAAAAAAAAAAAGATAGACAGACCAAAATTCCTGCCATGAGTTTGGCTTATTTGTAAGGATGAAGAAAAACCCTAACCATGGCTAACAAATATTGGTAAAATTAATTTAACTATAATTTCTGTAAATTTGACAACTTTAAAATGAATGTATATAAGGTGCCATTACTGAATGTCAACTTGTTTCTGACAGTTTTGCTTGTTTCTGTTTATAAAAGTCACAGTTAAGTTTTTTGTGCCTTTGTTACCTTAATTTGCACGTTAATGTTTTGTTCCGTATTACACTTTATCTTTTAATATGTAAAGGGAATTGAAAAGACAAAAAAACTTTTAAAGAATGTTCTTTAGTTAAAAATAAATCCAGATTCTTATTGTTTTGATTTAAAAGGCAAGTCAGTGTTAGAGAAAAGATATTTTTCTGTTGTATGAGAATTAAATAATGCTTCTTTTTTTTTTAGTTCTCTCTGCCAATGCCTAATGTCATCATGAGGAAAGAAACTGAATTTTCAAGGGAAGATTTTTGGAAAAGTTATTTTGGGAGCATTTGAATCTTTTATTTTCAACTTGACATAAGTTTTCCTCATTCCCTCTGCTTTATCTTTCCATTGCCCATCAATGTACAATTCTTAGTTCCTAGTACTCATTACACCTCATGCCTTTTTAAAAAATAATAAAGAGTGCATCCACATCTTCTCATTCCAAATTTTCATACTGAAGATTAAATTTTTTAATCATATTTTTAAAAAATTTTGCCGCATAGAATTTCTAATACTTTTAGTAGTAACCACTTGAGATTGAATTTTTTTAAATCATGTTTTTTTAACTTTTTGCTGCATAAAACTTCTAATAGCTTTAATAGTAACTAGTTGAGATTCTTTGTAATAATACAATAGAAATGCAATTTCCTAACCCCTAATCCTTGTTTGTTTTGATCTTTCAGGGTCTTCTTTTTACTGTACAGTGTTATTTTTAAAATAACACCTTCTCTATAACATGTACCCTCAAATGCCTTAGAGTTGCAGTTACAATTAAAGGCAGAGAGAAAGGGTCACAGGCAAGAAAGAAAAGGTATGTGTGTAGTTGAGGTTTATTGGTAGGTAGTCAATTCAGAGTAATTAAAGGTTTGTTTAGAATCCAAAAATGTCATGAAATTTAGAAAAGAAAAAAAGTGTTAACAAATGGCACCAGTTTTCCCAGCATGAGGAATACTGTTGATGACTGAATTTAGCAACTCATATGCTTTTGTAAGTGCAGGAACTGAGTAGGTTTCCTTGTCTGCCATGTCTGCCTCTTTGCTCGTTTCATTCCTCGCCTCTGAAGGAAGCTGTATCTTTTAATAATTACTATGACCTACCAGTAAGTACCCCAAGGAATTTGGTCCCCTTTAAAACTTGCAGTAATTACTAAATCCCCTTCTGGCTATCTGAGCAAGTTTTGTTTTTTTTAATAAATTTTTTATCTTATTAATTGCATGCTCTGACCTATTCCATAATCAAAATTGAAAAGTAATTTTCTAACCCTCTTATTTCTTCCTATAGGGATATTAAAGCAGGAAACATTCTTCTAACAGAGCCAGGTCAGGTGAAACTAGCTGATTTTGGATCTGCCTCAATGGCTTCTCCTGCCAACTCCTTCGTGGGCACACCTTACTGGTATGTGGAATTAGAAAACACAACATAGTTTCACAATATGTGTGTGTAACCAATATGGACTCATACCACTAGTTTTCTTTGCTTCTTCTTTTTTTTAATTTTTGACACTGTCTCACCATGTGCCTCAAATGAGATTTCATTAGGAAGGATAGAAACCTCACTAGCAAAAAAGAAACACTTAGACCAAGTATAAAATTTCCAGTGACTTTAAATTGTTCAAATAAGATTGATGTCACTGTGTGTAAACTGAGGAGGATTATCAACTCACTGACCAAGCTCAGGTTTTATATTTCACTTGAAGTTTCTTTTGAACTTTTCTCTTCAGGCAGAGTTCCTAGGCAAGAACAAGTTAATTTCCTTAGCCTTTTCTAGCCAATGAGCATAAATTTTACCTTTCAATGAAAGAAATCCATGCTCTTATTTCTGTTGAGTTCTCTGATACTTTATCTCACTTGTCATTCTGACTTAAAGTTTCATCTCACACTACTTAAGACTCCTTTCCTTTATTTCATAGACACATTGGAATTTCATTGTACCGTAGGGAATGACTTTTACCCCTGGAGACTTACTTGCCTATTAAAAATAAATCAGCCACTATTTGAATTTTTTCCCACCATCATCAAATAACATCTACCATGCAACTACTTACACACACTAATAGAGAACAAATCATCTTAAACTATATAACCCTTACCCTCCTAATGAAAATCCATTATGGACAAACAAAATAATATGCATTACTGTAGCTAGTTTATTTGTTTTTTAACTTATAACATCTGGAAATATTATATATTGCTTTATGTAATTCCATGAAGTATTTTTCATATTGTTTAAAGTTGTTTAAGTGTCTCATATATATTAATCCTTTACAAATATCTCTGAGGTAGCTAATAAAACTCTCTGCATATTACAGATGAGGAAACTGATATAGAGAAAGGTTAAGTAACTTAGCCAAGATCAAAGGATAGTAAAAGGCCTGTTGAAAATGATGTATTGTGTCATGTAAATCACTGGGTATATTTTTGTATTTTCAGTAGTGTTTTTCCAAATTATTTGTGTAAAGAAATGATAACTTTATCAGATAAAACTTTATAATATGCTCAAAAACAGCTATTTCATTGAATCTATTAAGTGAATTTTGTTTTTAATTTGCAACTTGAGTATTGTGAATTATATTTGGCAGGATGGCTCCAGAGGTGATCTTAGCTATGGATGAAGGACAGTATGATGGGAAAGTTGATATTTGGTCACTTGGGATCACCTGCATTGAAATGGGTGAGCAAAGAGCTGTTTTCATTGTACTTTTGAGAATCACTCCTTATTTCAATTACAAATTCACTTATTCAGCTATTATTAAATATTTAATGTGTTCCTGGTACATATGTGCTAGGTAATGTGAATTTATTATATTTTTTCTATGCTTTGTTATAACATCGTAAGATTGCTTTCTATCTCTGCTATATTTTCATGTTATTGTTTTAAGTAAGAGTTAGAGCAGATATGGCAGCTAACCAGTGTAAGAATATACAATAGTTGGTATTAATATTTGAAAAATATCCATTCTCCATACCATGAATGATGACATATGTCCTTGCTTCATAATAATCTCCATTACTTAATTTACATACCAGCTTACAGAAGGGAACTCTGGGAAAGTAATAGCAGGCTTATCAAAGATCAGACTCTAAAAACTGACCTACATAGGGAGCAGTCCTAGATAAAATTTCATATTAGAGAATACCTCCAGCAATAAGATCTTATGGAAAAATCCAAACTAACTTTTTGGCCAACCCAATGCTCCAAAATATAAAGTTATATAAAACACAAAAAATTAAGACTCAGTTCAGTTGCTCAGTCGTGTCCGACTCTTTGCGACCCCATGAACCGCAGCACTCCAGGCCTCCCTGTCCATCACCAACTCCTGGAGTCCACCCAAACTCATGTCCATTTGAGTCAGTGATGCCATCCAACCATCTCATCCCCTTCTCCTCCTGCCCTCAATCTTTCCCAGCATCAGGGTCTATTCAAATAGGTCAGCTCTTCGCATCAGGTGGCCAAAGTATTGGAGTTTCAGCTTCAATATCAGTCCTTCCAATGAACACCCAGGACTTATCTCCTTTAGGATGGACTGGTTGGATCTCCTTGCAGTCCAAGGGACTCTCAAGAGTCCTCTCCAACACCACAGTTCAAAAGCATCAATTCTTCAGTGTTCAGCTTTCTTTACAGTCCAACTCTCACATCCACACATGACCACTGGAAAAACCATAGCCTTGACTAGATGGACCTTTGTTGACAAAGTAATGTCTCTGCTTTCTAATATTGTGTCTAAGTTGGTCATAACTTACCTTCCAAGGAGTAAGCGTCTTTTAATTTCATGGCTACAATCATCATCCACAGTGATTTTGGAGCCCCCAAAAATTAAGTCAGCCACTGTTTCCACTGTCTCCCCATCTATTTGCCATGAAATGATGGGGCCAGATGCCGTGATCTTAGTTTTCTGAATGTTGAGCTTTAAGCCAACTTTTTCACTCTCCTCTTTCATTTTCATCAAGAGGCTCTTTAGTTCTTCACTTTCTGCCATTAAGGGTGGTGGCATCTGCAGACCTGAGGTTACTGATGTTTCTCCCGGCAGTCTTGATTCCAGCTTGTGCTTCATCCAGCCCAGAGTTTCGCATGATGTGCTCTGCATATAAATTAAATAAGCAGGGTGACAATATACAGCCTTGATGTACTCCTTTTCCTATTTGGAACCAGTCTGTTGTTCCATGTCCAGTTCTAACTGTTGCTTCCTGACCTGCATATAGATTTCTCAGGAGGCAGGTCAGGGAGTCTGGTATTCCCATCTCCTTCAGAATTTTCCACAGTTTATTGTGATCCACACAGTCAAAGGCTTTGGCATAGTCACTAAAGTAGAAATAGATGTTTTTGTGGAACTCGCTTGCTTTTTCGATGATCCAGCGAATGTTGGCAATTTGATCTCTGGTTCCTCTGCCTTTTCTAAAACCAGCTTGAACATCTGGAAGTTCACAGTTCCCATTGCTGAAGCCTGGCTTGGAGAATTTTGAGCATTACTTTACATATAGACTAATGGAAAGTAGTTGAAACATAACTAACAGAGTATTGGCCCCGAATTTATGAAGAACTCTCACAATTTCTTTACCAGATTTCTTTATTAAAAAGAAAACAAACTGCCAGCAGAAAAATGGGCAATGAGTATGATCAAGGAGTTAGCGCTGAAAAGAAAGCATAAATGGACAACAAACATCAGAAGATACTCCACCTTATTAGTATTCAGGGAAATACAAATTAAAACCATTTCATATTTATCAGATTGGTAAAATTTTTTTAAGTCAGAGAAGAAGCTGCTAAAGAAACAGGAACTCTCAAACACTATTGATAGGAGTGTAAATTGGTATAACCGTGTTGGAGAGCAAGTTGGCAACATCTGGTAAGGATGATGAGTGTCAGTGACTCAACACTTCCAAGTATACACTTTAGAAATTTTATACATGTACACTAGAAAATGTGGAAGGTTTCAACATTGTTTGTAGAAGCAGGAACAGGTGGAAACAACCTAAATTCTTATCCTAAGAATGACAAATTAATTTTGGATTACTATATCACAGTTAAGGATGAACTAGATCTACATGTGTCATCATGGATAAATCTCAGATCACAACATTGAATAGTTAATAAACAAAAAATATCACAAGAGTATAGATACAGTATGATACCAATTATGAAAGTTTTATAAGCAAATTTATATGTTGTTTATGAGCATACATATATACTAATAGATGTGAGTAATATACTAATACATACTATATAATAATAATAGTAAATTTAGGAGAATAGAAGAGGAAAAGTTATATCTACTTATTTTTTAGAAGAAAAGATTATTCCTATTTTGTCATTTATATTCTAAAATAAATCAAAATTTTACTTGTAACACTAAAACTATAGCAACACCTCCTCACTTACAGCACTTTACAAGGATGTCCCCCAAGTTGAACATTATAGCTAATTAGTGCCTGCCCACCCATTGTTTTAACAAGTTTTTTCTTACCTAAATCTTTTTAAACTATAACATGGATTTGGCACATACCCTTTTATGATGATTCAAGATCATCATCACATCAGTTTTTGTACTATGTAGATATGTTGTTGTTCAGTCAGTCAGTCGTGTCTGACTCTGCAACCCCATGGACTGCAGCACGCCAGACTTCCCTATTCGTCACCATCTCCTGGAGTTTTCTCAAGTTCTTGTCCATTGAGTCAGAGATGCCATCCAACCATCTCATCCTCTGTCATCCCCTTCTCCTACCTTCAGTCTTTCCCAGCATCAGGGTCTTTTCCAATTAGTTGGCTCTTCATATCAGGTGGCCAAAGTATTGGAGCTTCAGCATCAGTCCTTCCAGTGAATATTCAGGGTTGATTTCCTTTAGAACTGACTGGTTGGATCTCCTTGCAGTCCAAGGGACTCTCAAGAGTCTTCTCCACCATCACAGTTCAAAGACATCAGTTTTTCGGCGCTCAGCCTTTTTTATTGTCCAGCTTTCACATCTGTATGTGACAACTGGAAAAACCATAGCTTTGACTATTCGGGCCTTATAACAACATGCTCTCTATATCAACCTAACTTCAACTGCCTTTTATAAAGTGATTTACTGCCAACAAAGGTCCATCTAGTCAAAGCTATGGTTTTTCCAGTGGTCATGTATGGATGTGAGAGTTGGACTATAAAGAAAGCTGAGCACTGAAGAATTGATGCTTTTGAACTGTGGTGTTGGAGAAGACTCTTGAGAGTCCCTGGAACTGCAAGGAGATCCAACCAGTCCATCCTAAAGGAGATCAGTCCTGGGTATTCATTGGAAGGATTGATGTTGAAGCTGAAACTCCAATACTTTGGCCACCTGATGCAAAGAACTGACTCATTGGAAAAGATCCTGATGCTGGGAGGGATTGGGGGCAGGAGGAGAAGGGGACGACAGAGGATGAGATGGTTGGATGGCATCACTGACTCAATGGACGTGAGTTTGGCTAAACTCCAGGAGTTGGTGATGGACAAGGAGGCCTGGCGTGTTGTGATTTATGGGGTCCCAAAGAGTCCGACATGACTGAGTGACTGATCTGAACTGAACTTACTGAATCAAAGAACAAAGTAAATTTCTCTCAAATTGTTTTATCCTCCACAACAGCTATTCCTTCAAATTGGTAGATGACAGTATCACATTATGCCTAAGAGCACCCAGGCTCTGTTGTCAGATAAACCTGAGTTCTAATGCCAGCTCTGCCATTTCTTAGTTGTATGACTTTGGTCAAGATGTTTTAACTCTCTATGAAATTTGCCTAATAAAATCCCCTACCTTATACAGATTGTCTGGATTAACTGAAAATATGGACTTAATGTGCTTATTATTAAATCTTGTGTATAGTATGTGTTCAGTAAATGTTAGGCATCATCAGCACAATCCTAGTAATATATGTCATATTTCATCAAATTTTTTATTTACATTTTAACATATCTTTAAACAGGAAGGTATTTTACAGGCAACAGTATTTCATGATTATAATTGGCAGCATTTTGTTCTAAGTTATACATAAAATAGTGGTGCATCTTAAATTGCAATGCAGCTTATTGTCAATGACAGATTCAGAGAAGGATGATAGTACATGCTCAGTTAATATTCATAAAATAAAATTGTTACCAAGGATATTAAAGTTCTCAGCAATTATTCAAAACGTATTATATTGGTAATGTAATAAACCATACAAGTACCTTTTTGACGGCTTTAGCATAACACCTCTATTTCCTTGGCATTAGTGTTATTGTTGTTGTCCAGTCACTCAGTCACGCCTGACTCTTTGTGACCCCATGGACTGTAAACCACCAGGCTCCTGTGTCTGTGGGATTCTCCAGGCACGAATACTGAAGTGGGTTGCCATTTCCTTCTCCATTAGTCTTGTTAATGGACACATAAAAGAAGGGTATTTTTTTTTACATGAAAGATGATTAAACTTCTGTGTATGTAATCCTAAGCAATAATTTTTCTAAGCTTTCTGTGTTTGAGGTTTAATGAAATTTCAAATACAAACAGTATACTCTAAATTGTGCTTTTAATGTTGAAATTACAGTACAAGTTGTAGTGACTGAATAATGTGTTGTCCCCTTTTCTTACGCTATCTCTTCTGTAGAAGTGCATTTTCTTAAGAAGCCCCCTAATCTGTACATTGAATCACTGAGGTATTATCAGAAAGCAAAAGATGATACCTTTACTGGCACCATCCCTCTTTCCTGGATCAAGCTCCAAGATTCCTGAGTGGTTAAACCTGTTTTACAAATTATATTTGCTAACTTGATCTTCCACTGAAAAAAACTAGTTAAATTCATGCATCCTTGGAAAATTCTTGGACATTAAAATTGTCCAGTCACCAGATACTTTATTTTTTGAGATTATTTCAAGAATAGGCTAATCTGATGCTTTTCTGTTTAATCTACAGACACTTAGTTCACCAGCACAGATCATGGCAGAAGCTGGCAAATGGTTCATCAACACTGACAGGGGATTGACTTTTCAGAAATGAATTCTCCAAGGAATGGGGGCAGGAGGACATAAATGTTGTTACATAGTTTCTCTGCCTGGAATTTTCTTCTTCCATTCACTTTTTTATTGCCACTCACTGTTTGTGTTAATAAATGAATGTTGTAATGTTTGTTGAGGGGATAGGGATATATTTAGTCTTGCAGAGCTTCTTCCTTTTTTAAATCTTTTTAAAAATTGAAATACCAGTACTATCTTTATAAAATGCACAGGATTATTGAAGAGGCACTGAGGTCTATTGAAAAGACAGATCTTGGAGCCTTACCATAATTGAATTGGATTTTGTTGTTCCTTCATCCTCCTCTTTCTAACTTTCTACTTTGTTCTTTCTTTATTTCCCCTTCCTTATTGTTTCTCCTGTGCAATTTCATGTTCTGAGCACTTTAAATTGTGTTTCTTTTGCCAGTGAGAGGATTCCTACTGTTTTAATAGTGAATGAAGCCACCACATGGTATCTGATGTAAGCCCCAAGAGTTAGTCACTTCTCAGTCATCTTTGTGACTTCTTGCTGCACAAAGATTCTTTGTTGACAAAGTTTCTTCTTTGTCTTTATTTGCTTAACCTTTACTTATTTATTTTAGAGGTATTTTGGGGCCACCAAAAATATATACCCGATGTTATACTCAGCAGTGAGAATGCAGAGATGAACATAATAGACATTGTCCCTAATAAAATTTAGCAAGGAAGGTACACATTAAGTAAAGAATTACATAAATAATTAGTTATGGTTGTGATAGGTGGTAAAAAGTTAAAATGTAATTTGCAGTGACAAAATCTAGTGGGACACCTAGTCTTCAGAGGTTCCCTAAGGAAGAGACTGTAAGTATATAAAAAGCCTTGAATAAATATGTATTAAACTAATGCAGAAATGCAACTTTATTTAAGGTGGAACCTGAAGGATTGGGAAGAATTAACCAGGTAAAGTCTAAGGAACAAAAGTGAAAAGGGAGACCAGACAGAGAAAGCAATATGTGTGAAAGACTCTGACCTTGGTTCTTTCAGTGAAGCAACAGATGCATGAGAATGGGGGAAAATTGCATCTCAGAATGATGTGCTGAAAGTAGCCAGGGTCATGTTAGTAAAGGCCAGGAGACTGTTTAAGAATCTAGACTTTGTCCTAAGACCGGTAGGAATCCATTGATGGCTACATGATGAGTTCCTGCTTCCACATGGCTTCAAATACTTGAAGTTGTCAGAAAGCCAAGCCCTAGAAACTTTCTCAGATCTACCTCCTGATAAATAAAATAAACCTAAGACTTTTTTTTTTTTTGCCTTCCATGCTTGAAACAGGTATAAAATCCCTTTGTCCACACTGCAGCTTTCAAATTTCCACTTGTTAACAGTCCATGTCCCTATAATACTGATATCTGTTAAGTGTAAAGTGTCCTATTGAGAAGTTAATAAAAAATATTTATCTAATCATAGACTGTCACATTTCAAAGATACCAGAGATCATTCAGTTAAGAATATAAGAGGCCCCTCCAGAGGATCATTGATAAGTATAGTTGGCTTCTACTGAAACTCTGCCAATAGCTTAAAGTTCACTCTCTCAACATTATTCATTCTGGGTTTTGTGGGGATTTTTGGTTTTCTTTTACCACTCTGGCTTTTCAGAAGTTCTTCCTTCTATGAGTAAAAATGTCTTACCTGTAACTTCTTGTTCCCTGCCCTTACTTCTTGTTCTGTTTCTTAGAATTGCATAGTATAAGCTGGATTCACTTTTTTAAAAGTGGTTAAATCTTTACTTAAAAACCAAGATGCTCTGATGAAACCTAAGATCAGATTATGAATTACAAAGTGGAACTATATCAAGAATCCATTAGGATAAGCATGGTGGAACAGGATAGTGATTTACCTTCTGTGACATAACTAGTAAATAGTGTAAAATTAACTGTACTAAGAGCTAGAACCTTGTTTCTTTCCTTTGGTCAACAAGTGGAATACCTAATATGTGAATAGCATCTTATTACATAAGAGAATAAATAAAAGAACAAGAATATTAAGGTTATAAGATCTTGCTCTTAAGAGTTTATGATTTGTGTTGAGAGGAAAGATCTGTATGTTTATGTAAATGAAATAGGAGAGTGCATGCCAAGTGAACACTCTACTAAAAGAGTAATAGAAATTCCAAAGAGGAGTTAACGATGGACAGAGGTGGAGTATATATTTTACAGAGAAGTAACTGACTCAGTAAGTTTCTCCTTAGAAAGTGGATGGACCGAACCTTGCTTACATTTATTCTCCTTTTTCCCCTCCACCCCTACTTGTACCAGTTCGTTGGTCTGGATGAGCCCTCAAATGGTGTTTATTGGATTGAATTACTCTATCTTTCATACTCTGTTGGTGATAATTAAGATGTTCCATAATCTTTTTTTCAACTTCTCTGCTTTCTGATTGTTTTTCAATGAATACACATTCTTATTTGAAATAAAACAACATACAAAGATGTTCGTACCTACTGTGGGAAAACAAAGTTCAGCTTTTTGAAGATACTAGGAAAAATTTTTTTACTTTCTTGAAATGGATTCTGTTTGGAGCTTTTCCAGTGTACTTTAAGATGACCAGCAGCTTCTTTTGAATGGCTATCCTGAGCAACCTTAGAGATTACAATAAGTGGATTATTCAGTATGATGATAATAGCAAGCTAGTGGCCAAGCTTTGCTCACGGTTCCTTATTTCTCCATCTGCCTAATGTCTTTCAAGAACTGCTTTATTGTGTTTCTCTTCTTTCAGCGGAACGGAAGCCCCCTCTTTTCAACATGAATGCCATGAGTGCCTTATATCACATTGCCCAGAATGACTCCCCCACGTTACAGTCTAATGAATGGTAAGACTGAGCTGTCACTTTAAATGTGTAAAAAAATCACCATATGTTTTGGCACTTTCACTAAATTACGTTTTAAATATCTGACCTAGAAAGCATTTCATTCCTTCGTTGTATGCTATGATAATGGACACTGATGCTTTATAAGCCTTAACTTTTTGTACACACACACACACACACACACGCAGTATTTGTGCCCTCACTATGGCTTGTACTGTGTTATTAATATGTGTAGTAACTGAAATTCTACCAGGTACATATATGCCCTGCCACCTTCCTCACAAGTCTAGTCTCTAAGTCATGATGGTCTTATAATGATCATCTCAGTTTTATCATTTCTCAGCAAGGATAAAGTACCCTCTCTGATGTCTTTATTATTCTAGTTGTCATTTTTTTCTTTATTATATATGCCTTTAAATGTATTGAGACAGAACACATACTATCTATTCAGAAGGTAAATTTTTCCTTGATGAAAATTATAACATTTTGATAACTGTTAGAACCACAGAGCTACAGTAAAAGGGCAATGTCCAAGAAGAGTAGACAGAATGAAATTTCTAGAGAGAAGGCATTTTCATCCAGAGAGCACACTCCTAGGTTCTCTGTCCCTTATGCTTCAAGTTTTACTGCCTGGTTATAGGTTGTGGGTGATGAAAGAGTTACCAATTTGTCATGAAGAATATAGGCTTTAGACTTATGAGAGCTGTTACGTTTGGAGAGAAAAATATATACAAAATTGTTTTACATAGATATAGTATTTTTCATTTGCTGAGATATATTACAGTTTGACTTTGCTTATATCATAAGATACGTTTATGTGTTGACTGACTTGAAACTGTCCACATTCATTATCCTAAAGAATTAATTTTAGATACCTCAAACTTGAAAATGGGTCAGTTCTCCTGATATTCTGAAGTATTTTAATAAAAATCTCCCAAAACAAAAAGTTTTCCCTTGGATAAAAATTATTTAAAGTGATCAGTGTGTTCTACAGACTCTAATTTTATTTTCTTTCAATGTATTTGCACACACAGGACAGATTCCTTCAGGAGATTTGTTGATTACTGCTTGCAGAAAATGCCTCAGGAAAGGCCAACATCAGCGGAACTGTTACGGGTAATTTTTCAAATTTATATTTGAGGAGTGGGATTTAAAGTCATGTTGTAGTAAAATATAGTAAATCATTCCTGTGGCAGCTCATCATGACAAACTGGATTAGAACACATGCCTTGTCATTTAAAATCCAGAGACAGTAGCTAGGCATAGAAGTAGCAAGATTATCACAATATGTTCAAATGGATTTAGAAAAGGCAGAGGAACCAGAGATCAAATTGTCAACATCCATTGGGTCATCAAAAAAGCAAGAGAGTTCCAGAAAAACATCTGCTTTATTGACTATGCCAAAGCCTTTGACTGTGTGGTTCACAACAAACTGTGGAAAATTCTGAAAGAGATGGGAATACCAGACTCCCTGACCTGCCTCCTGAGAAATCTGTATGCAGGTCAAGAAGCAACAGTTAGAACTGGACATGGAAAAACAGATTGGTTCCAAATAGGGAAAGGAGTACATCAAGGCTGTATATTGTCACCCTGCTTATTTAACTTATATGCAGAGTACATCATGAGAAATGCTGGACTGGATGAAGCTCAAGCTGGAATCAAGAATGCTGGGAGAAATATCAATAACCTCAGGTATGCAGATGACACCACACTTAGAGCAGAAAGTGAAGAACTAAAGAGCCTCTTGATGAAAATGAAAGAGGAGAGTGAAAAAGTTAGCTTAAAGCTCAACGTTCAGAAAACTAAGATGATGGCATCTGGTCCCATCAGTTCATGGCAAATAGATGGGAAAACAGTGGAAACAGTGACAGACTTTATTTTTGGGGGGCTCAAAAATCACTGCAGATGGTGATTGCATCCATGGAATTAAAAGACACTTGCTCCTTGGAAGAAAAGCTGTGACCAACCTAGACAGCATATTAAAAAGCAGAGACATTACTTTGCCAACAACGGTCCATCTAGTCAAAGCTATGGTTTTTCCACTAGTCATGTATGGATGTGAGAGTTGAACTGTAAAGAAAGCTGAGCACCGAAGAATTGATGCTTTTGAATTGTGGTGTTGGAGAAGACTCTTGAGAGTCCCTTGAACTGCAAGGAGATCCAACCAGTCCATCCTAAAGGAAATCAGTCCTGAATATTCATTGGAAAGACTGATGCTGAAGCTGAAACTCCAATACTTTGGCCATCTGATACAAAGAACTGACTCATTTGAAAAGACCCTGATGCTGGGAAAGATTGAAGGTGGGAGGAGAAGGGGACGACAGAGGATGAGATGGTTGGATGGCATCACCAACTCAACGGACATGAGTTTGAGTAAACTCCAGGACTTGGTGATGGACAGAGAGCCCTGGTGTGCTGCAGTCTATGGGGTCGCAAAGAGTTGGACACAATGAGCGACTGAACTGAACTGATATGCTATATATTCCTTGTGGATACTTCCCCCCGCCTTTTCCCTTTTTCTGCCCCCCACCCCACCCACCTTTTTTGCCTAATGAAAAAGAACATTTCTGCTTGCTCTGGTGATCACTGTGATGTTCCAGTGACTAATATCTGCCTAAACTTTAAGGCAAAGTTTTCAGGACAGAGTCTGCCAATGATTCAAATACCAACTTTAGGATTTCAGTTAGGTTGTTGCCAAATCATCAGACAGTGAAGATATGTGATAAATATATAAGACAGATATATACATAGCGTTGCATCATACATGTTGGTGACAAAATTATTGTGTTAACTGCATTCATTTGATTTAAATACAGCATTTTTGAGCATCTGTTTTTGTGTAACTTTGTATTATAGGCTCTGTGTACATAGGCAGTGTTCCATTAATATCAGTGAAGTATGTGAGAGTTTCCTTTTTATGATATAAATGTCTTTTATTGGCCAAAGAATAGTCCAGGTTTCTTTCATCTTTTTCTGCATGTGTGTTTTCCAGTCTTTTTTTTGTTTCTTTCTTTGTTTTAAGAAAACCTCAGAATTGTATTGCCTAAATTTGTGAAGCTTAAACATGTCAGCTGCCTTTATAATTGCACATTGGCTAAGTGTCACAGATTCTTGGTTAATATTTTCTTTTTCTCAGAAATCTTACTCTGTTATTTTCTGGCTTTGAGTATCCTCAGAGGTAGGTCTGAAGCTGACCAGCTTTTCTACCCAAAATTAAGTTTTTTCTTCTTGTGAGTAACAGGTCACAGGAATATGGTGACAGAAGCAACAAGGCAATGGACTCTACCTTATTCTCTTTTGGTGTAGAACCATCACATGTTCTAAACATGAACTATAGACAATAGGATACCAGAAACACAAGACAGTGTCTTTATTACTTTGAAGTAGGCAAAGATTTACAAATACAGGACACAAACAGCAGTTTAGAGAAAGAAAAAAAGAGGAAAAAACATTATAAATTTGGGCTGTAAATTAAGCAGCAAAAAAAAAATGCCTTAAAGAAGAAGATACTACAAGCCTTCAAAGATGATAGGGCAACAGACAACAAAAGGATATAAAAAACAAATGGGCAGAGGTGAAAAAAGAAAATGAAAGTGGAAAATTTAAAGATAGATCATATCATATCAAATCATACCATAAACAACAAACTAATATAATAAACACACCCATGTAGGGTATTTTCAATGATGGATAGCCCGAGGGAAATAAAATTACATGAAGAATAAAAATTTCTAAAGATGATTATAGAAAAGATGACGTGTGGAAGGCAGAGGAGATATATATTTCAACCTATTATTCCTAAAAAAGAAAGCAAAACACATGGAGTAGAAGATATTTAAAGATATACCTAAAGATATACTTTTTGAAAATAAATGTTAGGATCTTTATTTTATTTGATTTATTTAAGTGTATATACACACGCGCACGCATGCACACCCACACAGGCACACATATATACTTGTCCATGCCAAATCTTAGTTGTGATACACAGGATCTAGTTCCCTGACGAGGAATCAAACCCGTGCCCCCTGCCTTGAGAGCGCAGAGTCTTGGCTGCTGGACCACCAGGGAAGTCCCCTGATTTACTCTTTATTTGATTTGGTGGACCAAATCAAGTAAACCTAACATTTAGTCAGTGATGTTTACTGATTGTCTACTGGGTGCCAAGCACTGTTCTAAACACTGAAAATCATACAGAGGTACAAAGAAAATGATAGTCCCTGCCCTCCTGGAACTTATATTCTAATGAAGGAGTGAAAAAGCAAATAATTTGATATAATGTCAGAAAAATAAAGCAAGGACTTGGATAAAGAGAGACAGGAGCTGCTCTTTTAAACAAGGCACTTCTAGGGAGGTGAAACTGATCTTCAGTGATCAACAAATCCTACCCATATCTAATTTCTAAACTCAGAGGATAAAGAAAGATTCATAATAGCCTGAAAAAATTTATTTGGGGCTGGAAAAACCAGTTGGCTTCAGATCTACCTCTTCAGGAACACTCAAAGCCAGAAAACTGTATAACAGTATTTACAGAGTTCTAAGGAAAAGAAAATGTAAACCAAGGATTTGTGACCCAGCTAAGGTGTTATTCAATTATAAATGCAGCTGGACATTTTCAAACCTCACAAATTTTAAGCAGTTTTCCTTTCTTAAAAACTTTCTCTCAATTGCTTGATAAGGAAATCCAGCCAGTCTATCAACGAAACAAAAAGCAAGAGAGAAAGAGGGAGGGAGGGAGGGAGGGAGGAAAGAAGAGTGAATTAGGGACTGGAGAAACTGGTGAAAGAACTGGTGGTGATCACTGAATTTAAGTTTGCTCTCCAATATTCATTTATTTATTCATTCACTACTAGTTTGTATGTTTGTTTAGCATGGTAAAATGACTACATTCTTCATTTTGAATAGGCAATACAAATTTCAAAAGATAAAAATACAGTGGAAGAGAGAGAATGAAAAGTGGGAAAACCTTCCCATTCAAGGCCCTTCTCTAGAGTTAGCAACTGCTGTCACCAATTTTGTACATGTCCTTCTAGAAATATTCTATGCATATGGAAGTAAATATCCTTTTAAATTTTTGAACCAATGGTAGCAAACTGTTCTACCCTGAATATTTTAACTTTTAGTGTGTTTTGTGTATTGTTCCATATTACTACATGCAGAACTATCTCATTGTCTCTAAGGACTCCATTATGTAGTCAAATGGATGGTTGTCTTTATAACCAACTCATTTATGGTATTGACAGTGTTTTGCTGTTACAAACTATTCTACAATAAATATCCTCACACATTTGTCAGTTTGTACCCGTATATACAGATATCCAAAGAATAGATTCCTAGAAGTAAAATTGCTAATCAAATGGAATGTGAATTTTAAATTTAAAAAGGTGTTGCCAATTTTCCTCCAAAGAGGATGCCCCAATTTATGGTCCTGTTAGCAAACTATGAATACCAAAATTTTTTGACCTTCTAATCACTTCAGTAGAAATCTTTTCTCACTGTCATTTTAGGTTGTATTTCTCATTATGAATTAGATTGTCTTTCTTACGTTGACAAGCCATTTCCATTTCCTTTTCTGTGAACTCCCTGTTGATCTTTCTCATTTGTCTGAGGGCTTTTCCCTTGTTAATTTGTAGTAAATCTTACAAATATTATTTTCTTATTTCTCTTTTGACATTCTTTATTCTGGGATTTTGGGAGGAGGTGCAGAAATTTATTATAAGGAATTCAACTTTTTTCCCCTCCAGTTGGCTTTCTAATTATTCCCAAATATTTTTTAAATAATCCATCTTTTCTTAACATTTTCTTCCTGATGTTAAAGTGTCACCTTCACAAAGAATTAAATAGAGAACTACTGTAAAATCATTGCTGTGATTAAAAAGCAGAATGTAAATGTTATACATATTGACAGTATATGTATTAATAATGTGAAAATAATAATGTACCTAGAAAGAAGTAGGGGTAGGAAAGAAATGTAAATGTACTAATTTTCCTGTTTTTCAGGGTAGTTAATAACAGTTCTTAAACTGAAAGTCTTTTTTAAGTAACTCTAATCTCTTAAAGCTTTGCATGATCTTTTTTTTCCCCCTTAACTCTAGAGGGTCTTTTAGGAACTGGTAACTCTTGGTGAAGAAATTTTAACTAACATTAAGCAGTCATCTTACTCTCAGTTCAGTTCAGTTCAGTTCAGTCGCTCAGTCGTGTCTGACTCTTTGCGACCCCATAAATCACAACACGCCAGGCCTCCCTGTCCATCACCAACTCCCAGAGTTTACTCAGACTCATGCCCATCGAGTCAGTGATGCCATCCAACCATCTCATCCTCTGTCGTCCCCTTCTCCTCCTGCCCCCAATCCCTCCCAGCATCAGGATCTTTTCCAATGAGTCAACTCTTTGCATGAGGTGGCCAAAGTATTGGAGTCTCAGCTTCAGCATCAGTCCTTTCAATGAATACCCAGGACTGATCTCCTTCAGGATGGACTGGTTGGATCTCCTTGCAGTCCAAGGGACTCTCAAGAGTCTTCTCCAACACCACAGTTCAAAAGCATCAATTTTTCGGCACTCCGCTTTCTTCACAGTCCAACTCTCACATCCATACAGGACCACTGGAAAAACCATAGCCTTGACCAGATGGACCTTTGTTGGCAAAGTAATGTCTCTGCTTTTTAATATGCTATCTAGGTTGGTCATAACTTTCCTTCCAAGGAGTAAGCGTCTTTTAATTTCATGGCTGCAGTCACCATCTGCAGTGATTTTGGAGCCCAAAAAAATAAAGTCTGACACTGTTTCCACTGTCTCCCCATCTATTTCCCATGAGGTGATGGGACCAGATGCCATGATCTTAGTTTTCTCAATGTTAAGCTTTAAGCCAACTTTTTCACTCTCCTCTTTCACTTTCATCAAGAGGCTCTTTAGTTCCTCTTCACTTTCTGCCATAAGGGTGGTGTCATCTGCATATCTGAGGTTATTGATATTTCTCCCGGCAATCTTGATTCCAGCTTGTGCTTCTTCCAGACCAGCGTTTCTCATGATGTACTCTGCATATAAATTAAATAAGCAGAGTGACAGTATACAGCCTTGACGTACTCCTTTTCCTATTTGGAACCAGTCTGTTGTTCCATGTCCAGTTCTAACTTTTGCTTCCTGACCTGCATACAGGTTTCTCAAGAGGCAGGTCAGGTGGTCTGGTATTCCCATCTCTTTCAGAATTTTCCACAGTTTATTGTGATCCACACAGTCGGAGGCTTTGGCATAGTCAATAAAGCAGAAATAGATGGTTTTCTGGAACTCTCTTGCTTTTTCGATGATCCAGCAGATATTGGCAATTTGATCTCTGGTTCCTCTGCCTTTTCTAAAACCAGCTTGAACATCTGGAAGTTCTCGGTTCACGTATTGCTGAAGCCTGGCTTGGAGAATTTTGAGCATTACTTTACTAGCGTGTAGGATGAGTGCAATTGTGCAGTAGTTTGAGCATTCTTTGGGATTGCCTTTCTTTAGACTCCTCTAATTCTATGAAATTCAAATATACCTTAATTTAATAGATTATTTTTTAAATTACCATGTGTAGTAAGTTTCTCATGTAAAATTATTTCTGGATATCCATCATTCTGAGAGAGTGAGAAAGGGAGGGAGGAAAAGTGTCTAAAATGATATTTCATTTATTTCTGGGTGGCAGAATTTTTATTTTCTTTTACTGTCTTTTATTGATTTCTGTGTATTATTTAAATGTTTAAAGTAAACATATTTCCAAGAACAATGAAAGCATTCTTTGAAAATGATCTGAGAACCTTTCGACTGTATGGGTTTGGAGAACAATGAAGAGATGGTATTGCAGGCAGAAAGAACATGGGAAAAAGACATGGGAAAGAAAGAACATGGGAAAAAGAACAGGGAAAAAGACATGCAGGTATGAAACCCATGGCAGAGACAAGAATGATCTACAAGTACGCTGCATTGGGTGGAACAGGGAATAGGAGTGACTAGATTGGAGCCTAGAAATTCAAGCAGGAACTGACTGTTAAGGCCAGACTTTACAAAGGAGGCCGTGAAATGTTTTTAAGACATTGGATGTATCAGTTTTGAAATATTTTAAGGTTTAATTACCTCCTAAAATAAGAAGTCCAGGATTTAGGAAAGGAGGTGTTTGAAGCAGTGCAGACCTGTAAGCAGCTCAATAGCTCCTCCTGTCTTCCTGTCCTAATACTTTACCATTCTTTGCACTTGACTTTTGTCTTCTTGGTCACAAAATGGCTCCTATGTTTCTGGGACTCAGACTTTATTCCAGGCAGGAGAAAAGAGGCAGGACAAAGAGTAAAATGCCTTCTCTTCCTATGCCTTGCTTTTTATCCTGGAAAACAAAGCCTTCCTCTGGGGTTTCTGCCTATATCTCAGAATTTGGCCAGAACTCGGTCACATTGCTAATTACACCTGCAAAGAAAGATGGAGTCCAGGTCTTATACTTTTTATTACTTTCAAGGAAGAAAGGCAAGAAAAAGAGGTTGGAATGAAGGATAACTAGGTCACAGTGTCTGTCACAGTTAATACCATGATCAACTCTGTGATAGACCACCAGAAAACAAACTCCCAAATAAAGAAACCTGGGTGGCCATTCTAGCTCTTCCATTGTTTAGCTGGGTAAATCACTTAACCTCTCTGGGCCTAAAATTCCTCATCTTGGAAATAAAAGAATTACGAAGAGTTACTTCTCCTCTAAAATTCAGTATCCTAGGTTATAGCTTGAAGTTTACTAAAAACTGATTTATTCTTGTCTAATTGCGAGCACTGAAGTAGCCAAATAATTTTGCTGTCTCCCTTGCGTTCTCCTCTTCAAATATGCAAGCTACTCTTCCTTCCAGGAATGGTATTTCATTTCCAGAAAGGATTCTTTGCAGAGAAATAGATATTTTATTAAAATAGGAGCAAAAGCCACAATTCCCTGGACAGCAAAGTCAGAGTGAAGAACCACAAGACACACAGGTTTTTTTTCTCACAGTGGTCCTGCTCCTCTTTTATATCTGTTTAACTTATAAAGAAATTAAATCCATTCCATCATCTGAGGCCTACCACATTATACCTCATTCTCCCAATATGTTCAAATTATAATTTCACATAAGCTAATTTTCCACATAACTGAAACTTTTCCTTTAAAGAACAAAATTTCCTCCTCCTCCTTTTGATCTTTTTGTGTGGTGATCTTGTCAAAATACGTGATATGCTTCTCTGCCTTCCTCAAGAAAGCTTAATGAATATAATGCCACTTCTTGGTTACTCAGAAATAATAGCATTTCATGAAATCTTGGTGTATAAAAAAAGTGTATGAAGGACAGTTGCCCCTTTACAAAATAGCCCACAAACCCTGGTTCATTTTTATTTGGTTGGTTGGTTGGTTGCTTGGTGTGTTAATCGTGGAATTTCCTTCTCTTTACTGTCAGGTGGTCAGATACCTTTTCAACAGACTCTCTTTTCAGCAAAAGCAACTAACAATTCCCAGTCCTCTATTCTCCTTCTTTTGTTCCCTCTTTCTAAACTGCTGTTGGCTGAGAAACCAGGAAACCAGAATATGTGTTAAAGATCATTGATAATATTGAAAGTGAAGCCTGTTTACAGCAAGAAAAGCTTACAGACTTTGGGGTAAATATTTTAACCCCTTGGAGACCCTTTTGCCTTATTTCTCATTGCACAGCTCTGTAAAGGGAAGATGAAGTTGCCAGAATTCTGATCTCTGAGATAAATGGAATAACTGCCACATTTTCAAGCATATACTGTATATGACCACAGAAATAGAAAACAAAATATTCATAAGTCTGTCTTTAAAAGGGTAGAGAGTGAGAAAGAGGATTGAGGCAGATTATAACAAGAATATTCTATACTCTGCATTTTGCTTATTACATAGTTTCAGGTTTGAAAGTCACAAGCTCTCAGCTACTATTTTAAAGTTCTAGTCATTGTTATTACTTGCATGGTAAAGTAAACCTCAAGAATTCTCAAGTAAATTCTGAGACAAGTCCACAAAATGTGGCTTGAGGAAGAAGAGAAAAAACATGATTATCGCTTTATGAGATTTATACAAGATAAGAGGCTACATGAGATGAAAATTGTATCTTGTTATTTCTGCAAAATCCACAGAATTGTTTTACGTTGATTTATCTTTACATCTAAATCTTGCACCTAAAAATATGTCTCCTCATTATCAGTTTCTGTTTTTTTCTCTTCCCTTATCAGCATGACTTCGTTCGACGAGACCGTCCACTTCGTGTCCTTATTGACCTCATACAGAGGACAAAAGATGCCGTTCGTGAGCTAGATAACCTACAGTACCGGAAAATGAAAAAGATCCTTTTCCAAGAGACACGAAATGGACCCTTGAATGAGTCACAGGAAGATGAAGAAGTAGGTTGAGTTTCTTTTAGCGAACACTCACAGGGTACCTACTATGTGAAAAAGTTCTGGACTGGGATGCTATGAAAAACACTTTGGGGAATAACAATGTATTATAATTGATATTTCTGCCTTAAGAGACATGCACAGTTGCAAAAGAGACATTGAAAAAAGTAATAAGACAAAATATGAACAGTGTCACAGAGGTGGAGCACACGGTAGGGGTCCATAGTGGGGAGAGAATAAGTCATCTGCTGGTGGGATTAGTGAAGAGGTGGGTCACTTTTGACAGGCAGTTACAGGGCACTTTTGTGCTGTGCTTTAGGAAGATTATCCTGGCATCAGAATGTAAGATGGATATGAATGGATAACTTTCTGGGTAATAGTCCATGCAGGAGGCAGTAAGAGCAGTATTCATGGGAATTGGGGAGAAGGAACATTGAGTAACACTAGAGGGGTGAACCTCATACAGCACTTCTCACTGACCGTGACAGATGAGGGGGAGCTTATGGTGACTCTGAGCATTTGTGCTTCAATGACTAGAGTGTGTCAGTACCAAGAACATAGAAGAACCAAGGAGGAAGAGTTGGTTTAGGATGATTTCAGTTTGATGCCTGCTGAGTCTAAGGTCTTGGCATCATATGCTATTGACACAGTGTACAGGTGGAGTTTTTACAGAAAGATGACTTTAGTTTAAGTCAAATAGTTTAAGAAGAATTAGTCGAAGAGGCCTGAATAGAGATGTCTAGTGTTTGATTGGGAAATACAAATCTAGAACGTAGGAAAGAGGTCTGGGTAAAGGGTAGTTGGTTAGGGGTCAAGGACATTAAAATGAGGATGAATCAGGAGTTGAATGTAAAATGAGAAGAGAGTCCATGCCACATAAGAAAAGGGAAACACAGATGTTCAGAACAAACTTTTGGACTCTGGGAGAAGGCAAGGGTGGGATGTTCTGAGAGAAGCATTGAAACAGGTATACTATCAAGGGTGAAACAGATCACCAGTCCAGGTTGGACGCATGAGACAAGTGCTCAGGGCTGGTGCACTGGGAAGACCCAGAAGGATGGGATAGGGAGGGAGGCAGGAGGGGGGATCGGGATGGGGAACACATGTAAATCCATGGCTGATTCATGTCAATGTATGGCAAAAACCACTACAATATTGTTAAGTAATTAGCCTCCAACTAATAAAAATAAGTGGAAAAAAAAGAAAAATTTAAAAAAAAGAAAAGGGAAACCTGGGAGATAAAGGCATCACAGATGTTATAAGTATACACAGCTTCAAGGAGGGAGCTACAAATACCATCAGATGCCACAGAGAAGTCAAGTTGAACAAGGACTGAAAACAGTGTTAACTGGGTTTTATAAGTAGGACCTTCTTGATGACCTTAGCGGAAAGCAGTTTTATAGGGATAGTTTGGATGAATAGTCATTTACTGTGGGTTGTAGAATAAGTGGGAAGTGAGAAAGTAAAGATAGTGAAAGTTGGTCATTTTAAGATTCATAAATTGGGTCAAGAAGGAAAAATGACAAAGGGCAGTATGTAGAAAGGTCCATACATATAAGGCAAGTCTCTTCATACTTATATGCAAAAGGAAAGGAGCCAGGATAGAGGCACTGAAGACAGAGGAAAGAGACACAGTTAAGGAATTAGCTTCTCAGAAAGTGCATAGCAGTAAGAACATTAGTGCAGGGATTAGCCTTGGACAAAAGAAAGTACTCTTCTTCTAAAAATAGATTAAAAACAGGGAAAGAATGAAGAATGAATTTTAGTTTAACTTTTTAATATAAAAGAAAATAAAATTATTTTATCAATAATTATAAAAATAAAATTCAGAAAGCTGAACTGGAATATAAAAATCTCTTGATTGCATATATACAAAGGGGCCCCTTTAATTGGGAAAATAAATCTATTAAAAATATAATGTATTATCTATTTTTTTTTATTGTCTATCATTTTAAACTACTCAAACTACCTTTGTCAGTGACTCCTTATATTTCCATGGCTAAGTAGCAATTCATTAAAGTTATGTAGGTACAGAATATGGTTCTTTGAAAATAGGGTTTATTTGGAGCTAAGTTGCTTTAATTATATTATTTAATCTTGTATCAAAAGATACCCACTGTGATGGATAAATTATATGTTCCGATTATTTTAGCATTTCTCAAATAGTAGTCTTTGGACTAGTAGTGATGAATACCAGTATTATTTAACAGATATATTTAATAAGATTACAGAGGTAAGCTTGATAGAATTGCTTGAGGGAGGCAGAATTTAATTACCTGTCCAGGACAGTAGAATTAATATCCCTGTTCAGATATGAAGTTTCTCAATAATGACTTGCAAAAAGAGCATATTGCTTGTCAAACCTCTGAAAACTCTTTTTATCCTCTTTGAGCTTCAAGTGCCCACTGCCGTGTTTGTAGCTATCCTAGAGATCCCCTTTTCAGTAGCCTGCAGTCTTTCCCTAGCACCTTGAGTTCCTGAAAGTCTCTTAGGAAATTGACCTGGCTAGTTCTGCTTACCAAGTAGCGATACAATGTGATAGTTGCATATGATGGGGGAAAGCCCTGGGGTAGCAGCATTTGGAACCTTATGGCCCATGTCCAGAACAGCCCTTGGGGAAAGCATCAAAGTGAATCAGAGATGTCTGAAAATGGTAGTGGAATAGTGGAGCCACTACATTAAAAGTTTCATCTTGCAGATTTGGCAGAAAAGCAACTTGGCACTGCAAAATTGAATGTACTTAATAGCTTAGTCAATGGATTGGTGCTTTATCTCCAGGAATTTTTTTTTTAACCCAAGTGCCCCATTATTATAGGACAGCGAACATGGAACCAGCCTGAGCAGGGAATTGGACAGCCTGGGCAGCAACCACTCCATCCCAAGCATGTCTGTGAGCACAGGCAGCCAGGGCAGCAGCGTGAACAGCATGCAAGAGGTCATGGATGATAGCAGCTCTGAACTTGTCATGATGCATGATGATGAAAGCCCAGTAAATTCCACTTCCTCTGTTGTGCACAAGAAGGTAAGTTTCATGATCCCCTTCACAGTGCTAGGTTTTGCCCATCGTTATGAAGCCAACTCAGGTCACGCAGCATTCAGATATTTTAGTTCCCTCTTTACAACTGAAATTATGGAACTCAGCTGAGCACATGATAGTTCTTTTTGGTAAAAAAGGTAATGAAGGACTAGGCAAGCTGTATTTGTGCCTGTTTTTTCGTCTTCCTCTCTTGTTACTCTGATGTCCACCACCATCAAATAAACAAAAACAAATAAATCCATAAATCTCCACATCAAAGAAACCAGTTAAGTTTCTTTCTAAACCAATAACCTTAATACTGCTGACCTTAAAAGCTTTCTGAGTAAAACCTGTTGGTTGTGACCTTTTAGAAGTATTTCAGATGTATGTTTCTTACCGAGTAGTCCCAAAATACTCTGTTTTAGAAAAAGTTTCCACTCTTTTTTTGTTGTTTCTTGGATTTGTCATTTCTAATTCTTCTAAGACCAGCTCTATGTCAGCTTAAATATTCTGACTTTTGAGTTAATGATTCTGTTTTTTGTTTTGACTTTACTTTTCCAATGGAGGATCATTCATTTCATACAAAGCCTATCATGATTTATAATTTGACGTGCTTTATTTTAAAATGAAAAATGAAAAAAAAATAAAATAAAATGAAAAATGATTTTTAAGCTTCTTTCAAAGCAATTTCTATAAGATGAGTATTTCACAGAATTATCAATGATTTTTTCTGGAGGAATTCCCAAAAGTGTTTTAAGTACCTTAGATAAGCAGTTCATATATGGAACTATAGAATAGAATCCTTTGTAACTTTTTCCATATTAGGTATATGTGAGTTGTGTATGTACTGCTGCTGCTGCTAAGTCTCTTCAGTTATGTCCAACTCTGTGCGACCCCATAGACAGCAGCCCACCAGACTCCGCCGTCCCTGGGATTCTCCACGCAAGAACACTGGAGTGGGTTACCTTTTCCTTCTCCAATCCATAAAAGTGAAAAGGGAAAGTGAAGTCACTCAGTCGTGTCCGACTCTTTGCAACCCCATGGACCGCAGCCTCCCAGGCTCCTCCGTCCATGGGATTTTCCAGGCAAGAGTACTGGAGTGGGTTGCCATTGCCTTCTCTGGTGTATGTACTCATTTTAATAAATATGAGTGATTACATTCTAACTCCAGTAGGAGAGCAGGTTTGAGAATTTTTTCCACTTAGATATCTGCTGGTTTTGTATTTTTATTGGGAGAAAAAGAAAATTAAACAGGTAAGGATGAAAAGCATGTGAAAATATATTGGTGCCTAGTCATGAATAGTGGAGGGATCACATTTATTTTCTGAACTGATTAACTTACTTATTCAACAGACATTGGTGGGGACCCCTATTATCTGCAAGGAACTGTAGTAGGCCCTTTGGATACAGACAAAACAGACATGATGACTTCATGGAGCTTATTATCTGTGGGGGAGATTAAGCAGATAATCACACAAGTAAATTTATCGTGTAATTTTAAAACTTGTTCTGGGTAAAAGGAGGACTTATTCTATCAGGGAGTAGAGGAAAATCTCCCCAGTGAAATGACATTTAAGCTCAAACTTCAGAGACAAATAGAGGTTAGCTAATTTGGGGTGAAAGATGGGGGTGAGGAAGCAATAGGTACAAAGGCCCTGAGACAAGGAATTTTGTATGTTCAAGGAAAAGGAGAAAATTCTGAGAAATTAGAGCTTGGAGGACTATGTGGAGAGTGAATTGGGACCAGAGTGACAGCAAGGACCCAGATTATTAGAAAGCCATAAAAGCATTTTGAGGAAACGAGTGATACCATGCAGATGAAGAAATCTGCTAAGAGTTAAGCATTGTCAGTCAGCTGTGTTTAAACATGGGCAAATGGTCATGTATTTGAAGGGTGGAAAAGGTTTTGCTCGGCTCTCTTTTTCGAAGTAATTATCATGGATGCTGAGAGATACTGACTTTTTCTTTTCTTTTAGCTCTAGGGCTTTGTGGGGATAGAGAGCAAAAAAAAAAAAAAAAAAGAGGAATTCTGTTGGATCTTTTTACTCTAGGACATCTCAAATGAGCACCCAAAATTAGAAGAGAGATAATTAGATTAGATTACTGGAATAATCAATAAAATTAGATTATTGGCATAATCAACAAGAAAGAAGACCCTGGTCTTGAACTCATTGGAGGTTTTAATTTTAATATTTGCAGGCTGGTATAGAGCTTTCTTGTAATAGTTTGGGCCTTTCAGTGCCTTTTTCTCCTTGGTCTAATCTTAAGAAGATAAGATTTTAATTTATAATTTGAAATAGAAGGTAGTTGTGTTTGATATACAGAAAATATTTGTCAGGAAAATTTTTCTAAAATGTATTTCTACTTAATTATTAAATATAGAGGTAATGTGATAAAAAATATTGAAAAACATCTACAAATAAAACTATGAATTAGTTAACTTTAAAATATAAGCAAGGAAGTACGATAGTAGAAACAGTCAACTGAGTGAAAGGGAAACCCACAGAATGGGAGAAAATACCTGCAAATCATCTATCTTATAAAGAATCAATATCCAGAATATATGGAGAACTCCTAAAACTCAACAGCAACAATGAAAGACAAAAAAAAACAACTGGAATCAAAAGTGAGTAAGGACTTGAATCACCACTTCTCCAAAGAAGATATAAAAATGATCAATGAGCATATGAAAAGATCCCCAACATTATCAATCATTAGGGAAATTCTAATCAAAATTACAGTAAGATACCACCCATGTGTGTAGCTATCACACACATTAGAGTGACCACTGTTTAAAAAAACAGAATGTAACAAGTGTTGCTGAGGATATGGAAAAATTAGAACCCTGTTCATTATTGGTAGGGTTTGAAAAGGGTACAACCACTGTGGAAAATGGTGTTTCCTTGAAAAATTAAAACTAGAATTACCATATAACCTAGCAATTCCACTTCTCAGTATATATCCAAAAGCCCTGAAAGCAGGGTCTCAAAGAGATTTTTGTATACCCATGTTCACTGCAGCCTTATTCACAAAAACAGCAGAGAGGTGGAAGCAATGTAAACGATGAATGAATAAACAAAATGTGTTATATACATACAACGGAGTATTATTCAACCTTTAAAAGAAGGAAATTCTGCCATATGCCATTAATACAATGTGGTTGAACCGTGAAGACATTATGCTAAGTGGAACAAATGTACCTGTCACAAAAAGACAAATGCTGTATGATGCCACTTCTATGAGGCTCTTAGCATAATCAAAATCATGGAAAGTACAATGATAGTTACTAAGGATTTGGGGAGAGGATTAATAGGGACTTGCTATTTAATGGGGCACAGAGCTTCAGTTTTACAAAGAGAAAAGAGTTATAGGGGTGATGTGATGCTGATAGTTACATAGTATTATAAGTGTATCAGCATTGAACCATACACTTGAAAATAATCAAGATGGTATCTTTATTTTACCACAATTAAGAAAAGGAAAACATAGAAGCAGGCTAGAAGAATAGAGCATGTTATATATATGTGCTTAGTCAATCAGTCATGTCCGACTCTTTGCAACCCCCATGAACTGTAGCCCCCCAGACTCCCCTGTTCATGGAATTCTCCAGGCAAGAATACTGGAGTGGGTTGCCATTCCCTTCTCCAGGGCATCTTACCAACCCAGCGATAGAACCCAGGTCTCCTGCATTGAAGGCAGATTTTTTGCCATCTGAGCCATCAGGGAAGCCCATTGTATATAAAAACTTAATATTAAATAATGGTATCTCTTCATGAAACCCATTTAGCCTTATACTTGGGCTTAATGTCTTTACTTAATAGAAATAAATTTTTCATAAGTTTCATATTTATTTTTTTACTTGACTTCAAAGTTTTTCACTTGGGAACATAAATAAAGTAGGATCTTAAACTCTCAACAGAAAGGTAGTGGACTCTAGGAATGAGGAAACTAGTTTTAAGTTCTGTCTGCCACTGTTAGTTTTATTTTACTTTGGACAAGTCACAAACCTCTCCAAACCTCAGTTTTTCCATCTGTAAAATAAGGAGTTGTTCTCTATGATTTCCAACATTGTTTCCGACTCTAAAATTTTGTGCTTCTATTCCTGTAAATTTTAAAAGAGTAAATGTCTAATATGACTTTCAAGTTGTTTGGTAAAGAGATGCCTTGATATAGAAAAGCCTATGTATCACTGAATTATCATTTTATAAACAATATTCTACCCATTATCTCATCATCCTATTTTATTGTCTTTTTTAATACTTGTCACTATCTAAAATTCTACTATGTACTAATTCATTATTTCATAATTTGGGTGTAAATTTCATCATAGCTAAAATTATGCTTACCTTGTTCTGTGCTGTATCTCAACACCTTAGAACAGTGCCTGGCACAGCATAGGCACTCAGTAAATATCTAAGGGATGAGTGAATTAAAAAACAAAAAATACACAGTGAATAAATTGCTTACCAGATACTAAACACCATGCTATTTTGAATATAATGGTTTAAAAGGCTTGAATAATATTAAATATTGTTTTTATGGTTTGAAAGACTTAAATAGATTGTCTCCAATAATAGTACTCTTGACAACAAGAACTTGCTCAATAAATATTAAAATGTAAGAATAAGGATGGGGAATTGTTTTGTTCCCTGCTCTTAACTGTTATAATTAAGATTGCAGACATATGCTAAATTAGTCAAATCATATATATGAGCAGAATGCCCATTTTATATAGGAAGTAAACTTACTTTTAAGGGCCACGTATAACTGTTAAGAGTGTGATTTGTAACTAACTGTTCTGCATCCAGAATAAAGATGTCCTGATTTTAGGAGGACAGACCTATCATAGATCAAGCCCAAAAAATACAAAGTGGGACACTGAAAATTTTCCTTTAACACCAGAATTTCAAGTTACTTTCCTCTCTACGATCTTTGCCTCTGCTCTGGTCTTTCCCTGGCCCTGAAGGGGCCAATCTTCCTTTTGAACAAGAATGATTTGATAAGTC